AATAAAAAGTGAAGAAGGAATAAAGAAGGCTAGAAATAAAGAAGGCTAGAGGAATAAATAAGTCCCCATGTAAAAGCCAGAAGAGAAGCGTGAAGGGCGGTTCTCAGGGAACGGAATTCCACAACTGTGGAGCCATTCCTTAAAAGGCCCTGTCCCCCCAGCCTGACTGGCCTCAGCTGTGGGCCAGAGAACAGATTTCCCAGAAGAAGAAGAAGAAGAAGAAGAAGAAGAAGAAGAAGAAGAAGAAGAAGAAGAGGAGTTTGGATTTGATACCCCGCCTTTCACTCCCCTTCAGGAGTCTCAAAGCGGCTAACATTCTCCTTTCCCTTCCTCCCCACAACAAACACTCTGTGAGGTGAGTGGGGCTGAGAGACTTCAGAGAAGCGTGACTGGCCCAAGGTCACCCAGCAGCTGCATGTGGAGGAGCGGAGACGCGAACCCGGTTCCCCAGATTACGTGACTACCGCTCTTAACCACTACACCACACTGGCTTCCCAGGAGCCTATACAGGTTTACAGGGTTGTAGGTAGTCCCAATCCATGCGGCACTTTAAGTGTCAGTACCAACACATTAAGTTGATCCCAGACAAAAACAGGTAACCAGTTCAACTGATGCAAAGCCAGTGTGGTATGTATCAAAGCACCTACCCCACCCCTCTGCATTCAGGAAGCTGAATGTTGCAGCAGCTGAAATTTCTGGTCTGCCTTTAAAGGCAACCTGATATAGACAGACGCCAGTGCTGTCTAGTATTGACAGAATCATGGATGTGTAGCATTGGAAGGATCATCTAGTCCAACCCCCTTGCAATGTAAGAATCGCAGCTCAAGAATCCTTGACAAATGACTATCTGACCTCTACTTAAAAACCTCCAGTGAAGAAGAGCCCACCACCTTCCAAGGGGGTCTGTTCCACAGTCAAACAGCTCTTATCAACAGAAAGTTCTTCCTAATGCTTCATTGGAAGCTCCTTGTCATTTGAATCCTTTGGTTTGCATTCTCCCCTTCAGAGCAGGAGAGAACAAGCTCGCTCCATCTTCCATGCAACAGCCCTTTAGAAATTTGACGATGGCTATCCTATCACCTGCCTGGCGTGCTCTGGTCCATGGGGTCACGAAGAGTCGGACACGACTAAACGACTAAACAACAACAACATCCTATCACCTCTCAGTCTCCTCCTTTCCAGGCTAAACATACCCTAAAGGTAAAGGTAAAGGTACCCTTGACCATTTGGTCCAGTCGTAGACAACTCTGAGGTTGCGCGCTCATCTCGCTTTATTGGCTGAGGGATCCGGCGTACAGCTTCCGGGTCATGTGGCCAGCATGACTAAGCCGCTTCTGGTGAACCACAGCAGCGCACGGAAACACCGTTTACCTTCCCGCCGGAGCGGTACCTATTTATCAACTTGCACTTTGACGTGCTTTTGAACTGCTAGGTTGGCAGGAGCAGGGACCGAGCAATGGGAGCTCACCCCGTCACAGGGATTCGAACTACCGACCTTCTGATCGGCAAGCCCTAGGCTCAGTGGTTTAGACCACAGCGCCACCCGCATCCCACATACCCTAAACATGATAGTAAATGAGTGCAGGTCTGCTTTCTCCTTTTTGGGTTGCAGTTGGGGAAGCTGTCACAGCTGCTAAATTCATCCCTACCTCCGAATGATGTTAAATCACAGGTGGACTCCCCAAACGGTGGATCTGATGTGTTAGGTTGCAAATCTCTAAGTAGGTTAGAGCTCTGGCCAAACAACAGGTCTTCACCCTGATCCATTTTAGAACTCCTTCAGGGTGCCTCTTTAAGACTTCCACTGCCTCCCTGAGTAGCAGAAGACAAGAGGAAGACCTGTGTGTACTGGTGACAACTCAGCCCAGGGACCCAGGTGACCTCTGTCAGCAGTTTCATGCAGACATTGAAAATAATGGGAGACCAATGGAACTCTGAGGCAACTGCTGAACAAATTAGTTGTCTATACATCAAAATTCCTGCATTTCAGGTGGTTGGACTAGATGGCTCTTGGTGTTCTCTTCCAACCCTACAGTTCTATGAAACCTTTGGCTGCAGGTGCCTGGTGTAATTCCAATGAAGACCTTGATTCAGGGGTCTCTGCAGAACAGATCTCAATTTCCAGGATATATAACATTCCCTGCATTTTTAAAGGTAGGGCGAGGTTTAGGTGTGTGGGTTATTTGTTAAATGATCCTGATTTTCTTCAAGTGGTTGGGAAGGTAGTGGACTTTCCTTTATTGGAGCTTTTAAGCAGAGGTTGGTTCTCCATCCACCAGGGATTCTTTAGCCACAATTCCTGCATTGCAGGGGATAGAACTAGATGACTATTTGGGTCCCTTCCAACACCACAATTATATGATTCTATTCTTCTGCAGTATTCTTCCTTCCCACCTACAGCTGTTTGCCTCAGTGCAGCACTGTGTTGTCTAAGCCTTTCCACTTTGATTATGCGACATCCTTAGCCTGGAACCAGGCAGAAAGGCCTCCCCAAAAGGCCTAAGCCTGAGCTCCTCCTGATTAGAAATCTAAGCACTGGTGGCCAGCAAGAAACAGAACTAGCCAAGCTGTCGGGGCAAGCCAGCAATTGGCAGTGGATGAATGATGACGATCTCCATCAGAGATGCCTTCAAAGAGCGTAGAGAGACCATCTTAAACTGATTTTCTTGTTGAAGAAGCCAGCAGTGTCCCGCTCAGAGATACAAGAGAATGCAAGAAGAGGAATCATGTGGCAAGCAGGCGGCTGGAATTTCAGGCGTATGACTCAACAGGTGTTGACGTGGAGTTTCTTGGCTTCGGAGAAGGACAGAGCTGCAATCCCTCAAATGTGGGAGTTGGCAAGCCCAGCTGTGACAGGTGCCAAATTGCATTTTAATTAGGTGCTGAAAGTCGGCTGAGTAATTGTAATATTTATGAAACCTTCTTCCCTCAAGTTTAATTTTTTTTTGCTTGAAAACCCTGTACCGAATTTGACTCTGGGATTATGTTGTAGGTGAATCCTCTCATTCTCCTACCACGTGCATGGATGTGCATTTGAATGAGTGATCAGATTTTTTGATATCTAGATCACGACAGTCTTAGTGCTCTTCTGAGGCTACATTACTATCAAAGAAAAAAGAGAGAGGGAAAAGGAAAATTCCATACTAGAGATTAGGAAAGGGATTTGAAAATAATGCCGTTATACAAACATATGGTGTGACTGTGTTTGGAATTCTGTGGACAGTTCTGGTCATCTCACCTCAAAAAGCACATTACAGTAGCACCTCGGCTTACGTTACCCTTGGTTTGCGAAAGCGGCAAACCTGGAAGTGTTTCGCCGCACGCATGCGCGGAAGCCGTCACTCCTATTGCGGAAACCTTGGGATCCGACCGGAGCTCCAGAACAGAAACTGTCAGCAACCAGAGGTACCACTGTACAGGGTTGGAAATAATTCAGAAAAGGGCAGCTACAATGATCCAGAGGGTAGAATGGCTCCCCTATGAAGAAAGGCTGCAGCATTTGGGACTTTTTAGTTCAGAGAAAATAAGGGACGCGGGTGGCGCTGTGGGTTAAACCACAGAGCCTAGGACTTGCCGATCAGAAGGTCGGCGGTTCAAATCCCCGCGACGGGGTGAGCTCCCGTTGCTCGGTCCCTGCTCCTGCCAACCTAGCAGTTCGAAAGCACCTCAAAGTGCAAGTAGATAAATAGGTACCGCTCCAGCGGTAAGGTAAACGGTGTTTCTGTGCACTGCTCTGGCTCGCCAGAAGCGGCTTAGTCATGCTGGCCACATGATTCGGAAGCTGTATGTCAGCTCCCTTGGCCAATAAAGCAAGATGAGCGCCGCAACCCCAGAGTCGGTCACGACTGGACCTAATGGTCAGGGGTCCCTTTACCCTCTACCTAGTTTGGAGAAAAAGCAAGTACAGTAATAGATGATATGATAGAAGTGTGGAAAATTATGCATGGCATAGAGAAGGCAGAGACAGAAAAGCTCCTCCCCTCCAATCTCATAACAGAAGAACCTATGGGCATCCCGTGAAGTTGTATGTTGGGAGATTCAGGGCACAAAAAAGGAAGTCCTTCTTGATGCAGTGCAAAGTTAACCTATGGAACTCCCTACCACAGGAGGCAGTGATGGCCACCAACTTAGATGACTTTAACAGAGGATGAGACAAGTTTGTGGAAGAGAAGGCCATCAATGGCTGCTCCCCACAGTTGCTATTGTTACAAAAGTTGGGTGCCTCCCCTCGCCTCGCTGCCAAGTGGCGGCAAAAGCCTGTGGTGTTCCAGGCACCCACCCAGGGTCTGTGGTCCTTTGGATAATTGAGGCACCGTGGAGACTGTCGTCAGTGTAAGAAATATGTTTTATTCACCTATTTACACCTTCAGTCTGCAGGGAGGGAGTCCAGATCTTACGGCATGGTCATTGCAGAAGGGGCTTGTTCCCCACAGCAGTGAAGCTATGAAGCCCAAGGCATCTCTCCCAGTCAGTTCTACAGCCAGGCTGCCCAAAGACGGATCTCAGTCTCTCTTCCTTCTTCTCTTTCCCAGAACCCCTTGCTTCCAGACTCCCTTTTCCTGTCAACTCAAAGACACAGTTATCCTGGCAACCTTCCAAATCCCTGTCTCTGTTCACACCTCAGGGCAGGGGGTAAGGACAATACTCTAGCACAGGGGTCTGCAACCTGCGGCTCTGGAGCCGCATGTGGCACTTTTACACCTTTGCCACGGCTCCGGGGTGGATACTAGCGAGGGGAGGAGGTGCATTGTGCGCCCCGACACTCCCCACTGTGGCGGGCGCTGTACTGGCTATGACGTCGCATGGGCGCGGTGCGTGCGTTAGTCACGCACTGTCCCGACGTCACCTTCCCGCCTGCCCGCCCGCTACATTGTAAGGATCATGTACGCTGGTCACTGCATTGAAAGAGGGAATGTACGCTGGTCACTGTTTTGAAGTGGAGTGAAGAACACACACACACAAAAAGGTAACTTGTTAATTTAACGTTTATTTCTATGAGGAGGAGCAATTCTGAGGGGTCAAACAAAGAAATAATTTAAGAAGTGACAAAAAAGTTATTTTTATAATGACGAGTTTTGCGGCTCCCAGTTTTTTTTCTCTTCGGAAACGGGTCCAAGTGGCTCTTTTTGTATTAAAGGTTGCAGACCCCTGCTCTAGCATTACCAATGGCCCTCAAAGGCCCTCTATTGTTTCTTAATGGCCCTAGCTTGACCAAGTCATTTTGCGTAGGTTAGCCCAGGAATTCCTTTGCAGTTTGTATTTCTTCCTCCACATCCCAAATCATCAAAATCCTACCATTTATTATTTTAAACCCAAATCTATAACGCTATGCCTTGCCTACGTGGTCAGATACAACAATGCTCTGAATCCCAATTGCTGGAAACTGCACGAGGAGGTGAAAGTGCTCACGTGCTGGAATTGTGCTTGCTGGTTTCCCATAAAGGGCACTGGGAGGACAAGGATGCTGGGCTAGCCGGTCCCCTTTGGCCTGATGCAGCAGGCTCTACTTATGTTCCTAAGCCGGAAAAACGGGAGAGGCTGCACCTCCGCTCTTATTCTGCCCGAGGAGATGATTCTATTCTGCTCTCCCATTGTTGGAAGAGTTCGTCTCTGTCTCACTCCTGAAGAGGGCATCGGATCAGAGGAGTCGACTTTCCCCTTAACGTAAGGGAGGAGGGGATGAGCCCCAAGGAGGCGCTGCCGTCCCTCAAAAGGCGCCTGGGTTCACCCCAGCATCGCAACTTCCCCGCACGCCTGGCAGCAAGAGGTGCGGGAGCGAAGGGGGTCGTGGGCAGACTCCGGCTCGGGGGCGGTCTGGCGGCAGCCCTCCAACCGCTGAGGGGGCGGCCCTTGCGGCTGAGCAGCAGCCTCGTAAGAAGGTTTCACTAGGGCTCAGTACGCGAAGGCAGCTGCAGGCAAGGGCTGGAGGAGTCCTCTCGCCTGGAAAGCCGGAGCGCCGCTGCTGCCAGCCAGTGTAGGCAGCAGTAGGCAGGGCCATCTGGCTGCAGCGCCCCCAGCAGACTGCCCGCTCAGAAGGCTCCGGCGAAGGGGAGCCCAGCGGGAGCTGCGACCCCTGGGCCCCTCACAAAGCGGCCCCTCGGGCCCCCCTCCGGCGCAGAGGAGGCTCCACCCCCCGGCTCCGCCCCCGCCCCCGCCTCCGGAGCCCCGACGCCCCGAGCGGCCGTCGAGGGAGGCGGAGACAGCCGCGCTCAGCCCCGGCCGGCCGCTCAGCCAGGCACCCAGCCACGGAGGAGCAGGAGGGCCGCAGCCGGGATGGGCAGGCCGCAGTAGCGCCCCCAGGGGCCGGCGCCATGGGCTCAGAGCCGCAAGCCGGAGGAGGAGGAGGCCGAGGTGGCGGCGGGAGCGGCTGCGGCTCCTGCAGCGGGGCCCGGAGGGGCGTGGGGCGGGCGCTGTCGGGCTTCTTCGCGCTCTCGCTGGCGCTGCACCTCCTCACGCTCGGCTGCTATCTTGAGCTGCGCTCCGAGCTGCGCCGCCGGGAGGCGGAGGCCGCCTGGCCGCCAAGGCAGAGCAGCGCCGCGCGGACCGCAGACGACGAGGACGGGGGGGCGGCGGGCGAGGTCTCCGGTCCCGGCCGGCCCAAGCACCGCTTCGCCCAAGAGTCCGGCAGGCAGCGGCAGCAGCAGCAGGTGGGTCCGGCGGTTGGTTGGTGGGGCGCAGGTGGCGCTGGAGGGGCTGCACGGGGGCCCTGCGGCGCGCTCTCGCCCCTGCAAAGGGGCTGCCAGACTCCAGCTCCCAGCGTCCCTGGTCCCTGGCCGCCACGGCGGGGACTGACGGGAGTTGGAGTCCGAGGGCGGGAGGGTCGCAGGTCCAGAGCTGAAGAGGGATGGGGAAGCGGGAGGCCGCTGTTGGCCCCAACAACCCTCAGGGAGATCATGGTTTGGCAGCCCGCCTTGTGGCGGCGGCGATGGCGGGGCGGCGGCTTCGTAGAGCAGGCAGTAACTTTTGTGGAGTTGCAGGGAGCCCCGCAGGATCATCTAGTCCAGCCACCCTTGCAATGCAGGACTCAAAATTAAAAGGTCTCGGACAGACGCTGTCCGATCTCTGTTTAAAAGCCTCCAGTGAAGGAGGAGACGATGCCACCTTCTCCCGAGGAGAGCGCTCGTTTGCTGAGTTTAGCACATAAGCAAGTGAGTGTCTGTGATTCATTGCATTGAGATTACAAGAAAGGAAATTTCGACTAAACACTACTTTCTGACAAAGGAGCCAACTCCTAGGGGCCAGGGTCAATTTGCACCCCCCATAAAATATTTGAGGGGTCTAGCCCTTTGCCCCTAAGTTGTAGGGCCTAATTGCCCTAATTGCCATTCAAATGATGTGATCAATTATTTGGGCCGGGGCTTACCTGTCCCCCAGATTTTATTCAAATTGGCACCCCTGCCATCTGATGGTAAGAGCCATCAATAGTGGAACAGAGACTCCCTCTGAAGAAGTTGGCAGACTCTTTTGCTGGAGGTTTTTAAGCAGAAGTCAGATGGTCATAGGACATAGGTCATAGGTCATGGATGCTTCAGTTGAGATTCCTGCACTGTAGTGGATTGGACTATAGATGACCCTTTTAGCCAACTCTACAATTCTAAGGTTCTACAAGTAATTGTGTCACCCATGTGAATGTGAACATTGTGATGGTGGTGGTGGTGGTGAGGCATTCTATCCACACCACCCCCAATAATTATACCAATATGAGACATTGCAATTTATGGTTTCCAGTTGCAAAACACCACCAACTTCCAGGCTGTGCTAATTAATTGTGTGCTTGGCAAAGACTGGCCATGAAATAGATGCCTGTTTTCAGCTTTTGAGGAGGATCCTGCTCTGTTTGCCCAAATGAACTGACTGGGTCAGTTTCTTTCTTCTGTACTCAATGAACTTTTCATTGTTGTTCTTTAAAAATGCCTTAAGTCTTCCCAAATGTGAGCAGTAACTTTGGGTTCCTGGTAAAGACCAAATGAATAGTTATGGGCAGCTGCTGTTCTTTCAGGCTGTTACTCTGATTTCTTCTGATCTGATCTGGAGAAGTTGTTGCATTTTAAGACAAATAGCCCCATCTAACACTTATTTTTAAAAGGATTATTCTTTTTGTGCTGGAATCCTGCACAAATTTCCCATTGAGGTGTCTGTTTGGACACTGTGAAAACAGGATGCTGGACCGGATGGGTCCCCTTCGGTCTCATCCAGGAGGGCTCTGCTAATGCTTTTATGGAAACGTCAGGTTCAGAGACAGTCTATTTAGATCCCTGGGTTCTTATGGGCATTTTGCCACTGTGAGAACAGGATGCTGGACTAGATGGGCCACTGGCCTAATCAAACAGCCAGATTCTTCTAATGCTCTTATAAAGTGGTACCTTGGGTTACGTACTTAATTTGTTCCAGAGGTCCGTTCTTAACCTGAAACTGTTCTTAACCTGAAGCACCACTTTAGCTAATGGGGCCTGCTGCTGCACCGCCGGAACACAATTTCTGTTCTCATCCTGAAGCAAAGTTCTTAACCCAAGGTAATATTTCTGGGTTAGCGGAGTCTGTAACCTGAAGCATATGTAACCTGAGGTACCACTGTATTATCTATCTAATCTCTCCCCCCCCCATTTAAAGTAACATGTTTTAGCCTAGATCTGAAGGGGGCTCCTTTGTTTGCTGTAATAAACTGTAACTGTAGGTATGATTTGATACTTAAAAAGAGCTATCCGTATTTTAAAAACGGGTGAAGAAATTTACCACTATGGTCAGCAGAGTTGTATGCAGTCATCTGGCAGTATATTCAACCTTTTCAAAACCAGGACCCACTTTTAATCCAAACATGTATTTCTGGACCTTCTTTTTACTCTATGTCCGCAAGGTGGTAGGGCTCCTGTTGCAAATTACCTTGCATCAGGCCACAAACTGCTAGTGTCTCCTAACCTCCCAGCTGAAGATCCAATGCTTTGGAACAAAAGTTTTCAACCTTTTTGAGGTCTTGGCTCCCTTGACCAACTGCATTCTTTGTGCGGCTCCCATGTGGGGCTCAGAAGCCCAGTTATGTCACCCTTTGCCTGCAGAGCTGGCAGCCTCTCACCCTTTTTTGAACACCCTCCCTTGTGGTGGAGTGTTCTCTTAGCCTCTTCTCCTCTCCCCTCTCCTTGGGAGTCCTCAGGGCAGCCACTGCTGCCGCCTCTGAGCTGCTCCCCTGCCCCAAAGAGAGCTCACACGGTGTCCCCCAGGGGCCTGGGAAGAGGATGCCTCCAGCCTTAGCAGCCCAGCAGAGACTGGCCAAAGGTGAACATGAGGCCTGCATCTCACCTTGGGTGCCACCGGGCCTGCATGGCAGAAGGTCTCCCCTTGGGTGCTGGGTGACCCTTGCCTGTAGAGCGGGCAGCCCCATACCCTTTAAAACACCCTCCCTTGTGGAGCATTCCCTCAGCCTCCACTCCTCTCTCATTGGGCAGCAGCACCCCCCAAAAAGATGTGCATCCTCATGTCGCCCCATAGGGGCCTGGAAAGAGGATACCCCCAGACTTAGTGGCCTGATAGACACTGGCCAAAGGTGAACATGAGACTTGCACCTTAACTCACCTTGGGAGGCAACAGGGATCGCTGCCGGGCCTGCATGGTGGAAGGACTCCTCTTGAGCACTGGGCACTCAGCTCTGAGGCAGGGATTGTATACAGCCAGCACAAGAAAAGCCAGTGCGCTGCTTGCTTGCTTGCTTGCTTGCCTGCCTGCCCGGCCTCCCACTTGTCCGCCCATTTCCAACAGCCAGGGCTGACAGACTGGTTGGCTGGGCTCCCTCACCCACTTGCTTCTTACTCCGAGGCAGCCTCAGCTCCTGGCAGCCAGCACCCCCTGGCCAGCCCCAGAGGCACCATTCACCTGTGGAGCTTATAGCCAGGGCTGCTGCAGCAAACAGCCACACAAGTCTTTGGGAGGCAGATGTGCAAGAGGGCATCAGAGGAGGGAGGGGAGGAAAGAGGGACAGAGGGCAGTGTTGCCCGTGGCACCCCTGACCATCATTCAAGGAACCCCAGGGTGCTACGACACACTAGTTGAAAACCACTGCTCTGGAATAACAAGAAGCTGTGTTTTTTTAATGGCATGATTTATTTGTTGCATTTATATCCTGACTTTTTCTCCAAGGGGCTCAAGGTGGCAAACATGGTTCTCCTCATTTCATTTAATCTCCACAACAACTTTGTGAGGTAGGTTATGCTGAGAGAGTCGGTGACTGGCCCCCAAGGTTACTCCCACTGAGCTTCATGGTTGCGTGCGGATCTGAACTCTGGTCTTTCCTAGGTTCTTGTCTGACACTCTAACCATCATGCCACACTAACTCTAACCCAGTGGTTCCCAACTTTTTTTGACCATGCCCCATATAAGCATCACTAAAATCCTGGTGTCTCCTCTCTGTGACATATAATTCTTATTATTCAAAAAATGAACTCCTATTCATGTAGAGAAAGCTTAAAAGGTCATTCACTGTTAATAACTCATTCTCAAATTGCCCCCCTTAAAAATCAAATTGCCCGCCTTAAAAATTAAATTGCCCCCCTGTGGGGTGTGTTGGAGACTACAGCTCTTTCCTCTTGTTCATAATTTGACGTAAGCACAGCAATTCATATAGAAGCTGCAAATGACAAGGAGTCTCATGGTAAGGCTGACCAGCCCTTGACAAATTGTCCTGGTCCTGCCCTGATCCATGAAATAAGTCTGCATTCTGCATATCACTCTGCAGGTAGACAATGGATATATAAGCACTGCTTTATTTTGGAAACTGAAGCTCCCTGTGTCTGTGTTCCCCTGGCTTCCACTCATAATCCATTATCTTATTTTATTTATTTGCATTTACATACCACCTTTTTTCTCTAAGGAGCTCAAGGTAGTGAGCATTATTCTCCCCTCCCCATCCAATCCTCAAAACAAACCCGTGAGGTAGGCTAGGCTCAACTATGAAGCCTACTAGGTGAGCTTGGGGGTAGTCACTGCCTCTCAGCCTAACCTACCTCACAGCCAGTGTTTGAAATTTGCTAGGCGCACTTTGCACCTGGCTTTCAACCATTTGCGACCACGTGAAGTTGCCTGGGTGCCAGGATGGTGCCTGACATCTTCACCCTCTGGGAATCATTGGATCTTGTGTTTTCACACACTAATACCCCATCCTGTAGAACGCTTATCAGTTATATTGCATCTGCACAATCAGAATGAATTTCTGGAATAGGCCAAAGTATATGTGGACTATCCCTGGTTCAAGAGACTTTTCTTGTTTAAGTTCTCAAAGCTCTTTACCTAGCTCTTCTGAACTAGCCAGATATTTAACTGAGAATCAATCACATTATTCGAAAAGTAAGACCTTAGAGCTGTCATTCCTACAAATGGCAACTAGACATTCCGTTTTGGTGACTGCAACCTTGGTTTAACGAGACATTTGGCGCCTTGCTTCTCTATCTGAGTTTCTAACACCTGTCACAGCATGGTTGTTGTGGGGATCAAATGAGGAGGAAGAGAGAACCCTGGATGCCACCTTGGGCTCTTTGGAGATGAAAGGATGGAATAGAAATGCAAATAAATAAACAAATAAACGCCAAGCAAATTTCAAGCTAATAAGAGCTTGTGGGTTTATCATGCAGGGATATAATGTTCTTAAGCACCTTCATAAGCAAAAGGATAAAACCCATCCAATTTGCCACTTAAGAGCTTCCCCTGGTGTTTTCCTCTGTTTGCTTATAGTATATGGACCATTGCCAAGTTTTGTAAGAAATACCCACAGGCTAAGTTGCATATATCATGTCTATTAAAACTGACAGTAAATCTGTAAACAGTTCTTCCAGAGCACCTCTTGCATCTTTTCAGAGAGCAGAGCACCCCGTGCATCTTTTCAGAATTTGTATGCTACCTAATTGTAAAAACCTCTAAGCAGTTTATGCAAAACATACATTAAAATAATCAATAAAAAAGAAGTTAAAATCAAGTATTCCTTAAAAAAAAATCAAAATGTGAATAAAACCAGCAGTTTAAAATATATATTATTTTTAAAATTATATTAACATGCATGTCTGCTTTACATAACTTGGTGCATCAGGAGTGGCTCAGGATTCCATGTCTGCCATGGCAACCATGGGTCTGTCCCAAATAATTTCTGGCCCGGTCCATGCTGCAGGGCACAGTCTGGATTTGGTTTTCCTGTCCTGAATTGGTTGGTGGTAACCTTAAGAGTGGAGGAACTTTCTATAGTTCCATTGTCATGGTCAGATCACTACCCGGTGGAGTGTTGACTCACTGGAACTCAACCTCTGCAGTGGTGGGGGACCAACTACGATAGTGGCTCTTGGGGAGTTTCCTATTTCCTTGGCAGGCATTTTTTTTGAAGTAGGGTTGCCATATTTTGACAAGCAAAAAAAGAGGACACATTTGCCTTATGACCATGTGCTCTGGCACACATCACGATGCCCTGTTGCGCCAGAAGCAGTTTAGTCATGCTGGCCACATTTCCTGGAAAGCTGTCTGTGGACACACACCGGCTCCCTTGGCCTAAAGTTAGATGAGCACCACACCCCTTGGTCGCCTTACCAGTGGTGTCCAAGCTTTTCTCAAAGAGGGCCAGATTTGATGAAGTGAAGGGCTGTAAGGGCCGACCAAAGTTGTTAACCTTTTTTTAGGATTGAAGTTGTTGAGCTTTTTTATGATTTTTACCCCAAAGTTGTTGAGGGTTTTTTTTTTAGGATTTTACCCTAGGAAATAAACTGCCACAGGGGCCAGATTAACCATCCAGGGTTCCTTTACCTTTTACTGGGGAATTAGCTCTCAACGTTAATAACCCCTGCCAGGCCAACCAGCCCGCAAAACAAGCACTGCAGTGGTTAAGAATTACTAATATAGCCCACTCAGTTCAGTAGCAGCCATTAATATGTTAAGTCTGCCTATAAAAAAATAATGTTCAGGCAGGTTTTAATCAATTCCCAGAAACAGAAAAAGCATTACAAACAAATTACATGACAAATATTTTTAAAGCTGAAAGCTCATTAAGGGGGATGTGCACTTTAATTGTGCCTTAAAATGGCAAACATTTTGCTCATAAAACTCAGCTCAACCATTATTCCGATGAGATTGAGACCTCTTCCTCCTCCGGCTAGCAGGTAGCAAAAGAAATACATGAGCGTGTGCTTGTGGGGTGAGGGGTAGGGGGCTGGCGAACAGAAGAGAAGGGCAGGCAGGGCAGAGGGGGCAGCAGCCACAAGCTGACATTGGTGGGACACAGTTTTCAATCCCCATGTTTACAGGCGGTTGTCAGGTTTGCAGATGCAGGTGGGGGGAAGCAGGGTGTGCCTGCCATTAAGCCACTGCGCAAGGAGAGAGGCACTTGAGGAGAACAGAGCCAAGGAGACCTGGAGCCGCTGCAGGAGAGGGCGAGTGGTGGACTTGTCTCACATGCCACATTTGGCTGGGTTAGGCAGGGTGGGGGGAGAGAAGACGTGATGATTATTATTTTTTTTAAGAAAGGAAAGCAAAATTTGGCAAGAGCCTGATTAAAACAAAGGCACATTTGCACTGGGGCCTAGAGCAGGGCAAGGACTCTTCTGAAACGCACCACCTCCCTCCCTCATCACTGCACGGCTGCATGATGCACCACCTGGATGCGGCAGGCATTTGGGGCCTTACCTTTCCGCCTATTTGCATACACCATACTCTCCTCAATACCCCCCCCCCCGGCCGCCTTCCGTTCTCTCCCTGCCTCCCCCCCCCCCGACAAATAAACATTAGACAGTTTTACCCAACAGCAGCCAACCTACATTTTAAATCCTCTTTGGCCGATTTGAAAGGTATAGCTTCGTTTTGGTACACACACCCTGCCACACAGTCCAAATATGCCGTGCTTTCCTGCTGACTTTCGACTGGGGCGAAAGCCTAACGTCTAAGCCTCCCCACCTTAGTCTTCCAGCCAACCACCACACCATTTCAAAAGCAAGACTATTTGGGTAAAGGAAGCAGCGTGGGGAAACCACTGATTAAACGTTCACGATCCAATCAGTGTTGTAACGGCAGGGGTGCTTTTCGTGCCCATGTGTGGCATTAGGTGCAGCGAAGTTAGTAAGACTTACTCACTTCAGCTCTGCTGGAAAAACCCAATTTCCTGAGCACACCCACGGGAAAGTGGGGGCATGCGGCAGTGGCACCCTCCCCTCACTTCTTCTTTTCTTTTCCTTCAATAAAGGTAGTTCCTTTTTTTTTTTTTAAATGATATTTATTGAAATTTCAAAGAATACAAGAATTACACAAAAACAAAAAGTAAAAATACAAGAAAATACAAAATACAGAAAAAAGAATTAAAAAAAACCCGTAAAAAGAAAAAGAAAAATAGATCAATCTTTCCATAACTTACATTCATATCCTTGTTTCCACCCATGCCCAACGCGGGCGTCTTTCCCAGCAAGCAAGGCCTTGGATGTCTCACGCTCGATTTTGAAAGCCCCATCCCACCATGCTTGCTCGCTTGCTTGCTCTCTACTGCTGCTGCTTGCAAGCCGCTGCCTCGGCTGCCAGAGTTTCTTCTGCCACTTCGGCACCTGCCTATGATAAAGCTGCAGAGCTCTCCAAAGCAGCAGTAGCACCACCACCACTGGACACTGCGTGCCCATTCTTCGTCCCAGAGCAGCCGCCATCAGCGGCCTCCTGGACAGCATAGACCAGATGTACTCAGGCAGCAGGAAAAAATCTGGGCATTTTGCATTATTTTAAAAATCCACCTGGGCAGAAATTTTAAAGTTTAAAAAGAGAACGTATCCGGGGGAAATCCGGACATACACTCACCTTATTTCAAGCTCTGGTAGACCTTTGGGATGGAGAAATGACCTGGGTGGCAAACAGGCCCATGGTTCTCTAGGGAGCTGGTGATCATGCAGTATGTGAGATGATTTTGGCGGGAACTCTGAATGAGTCCGAACAAACACAGGCGATTTGAAGGCCTATTTTGTATGGCATTGTGGCATCAAATAAATCTTTTCCTCTGCCACCATTGCATCAGCGAGGAGCCATCCAGTAAAACTGTTTTGGATGGTCAGGGGTATTTTACACTCTGGCCCACATGAGGAGAATTTAGACCACTTGATGGCTCACTGTGAACAATTTGCTCAGCAGTTCACTGAGAAGATTGCTTGGCTCTGTTCTGACTTGGATGCTAGAGTAGATATGCATGTAACCTTGGCCCCTGCTCGTCCAGTGTTAATAGATACTTTTCGATTTGTGGATGTGGGCAGGATCCTGGAAGTGTGAGAGCAAACACATCTGTACCTTTCCTGGCTCATCAAAAGTGGGTGAGGGGAGTGGTCACAGCCTCCTTACAACTAGGCAAGGATGCAGTGTTCCTAAAGGAGGCAGCTATAAGACCTCTGCTGAAAAAGCCCTCCCTGAATCCCACTGCATTGGATAAATATTGGCCAGTCTCCAATATCCCACTTCTGGGCAACTTACTGGAGCGTATCATCTCAGTTCCGGGGGTTTCCGGAGGAGACAGATTATCTAGATCCATTTCAATTTGGTTTCAGACCTGGTTATGGGACAGAGATGGCTTTGGTCATCTTGAGAACTGGACATGGGAAGCATGTCCCTGTTGGTTCTGCTGGAGCTTTTGGTAGCTTTCAATACCAACAACCATGGTATCCTGCTGGGCCACCTTTCTGGGATAGGACTTGGAAGCACTATAAATTGTATGAAATCTGGCTTGGTGGCAAATCACAGCCAGTTAGGCCTCTAAACAGAGGGTATGCTCTGTTGACAGTATCAGTCTGCAGCATTCCAGACAAAGTGGAATTCCCAGCTTCATAGTCTCCAGTAGCTGGACCACTGCAGCCGAGCTCTCCTGATCCAGGTGTGGCTGCCACTGTCTTGCCAGCCACCACAGGTGAAAGGCATTCATAAAATGATGGGACAGGAGGAGTATATAACATAAGATGTGCCCGCTGGATCAGGCCAATGGACCATCTACATAATCATGTTCTCACAGTGGCCAACCAGATACCTCAGATGGAAACCCACAGGCAGGATTTGAGCACAAGAGCAGCACTTTCCCCTCCTGTGGTTCTCTGCAACTGGTATTCAGAAGCACAGCTATAACTGTAAAAGCTGGTAGCCATGGATAGCCCTCCATGAATTTGTTTATTTCTCTTTTAAAGCCATCTTGGTTGGCTGCCATCACTGCCTCCTTTGATCATGAGTTCCATAGTTCTTAGAATCATAGAGGAGTTGAAGTGGCCCTGAGGGTTGTCTAGTCCAACCCCCTGCAATGCAGAAGTCTCTACTAGATCATATGTGGCAGGTGGCAATCCAACCTATGCTTAAAAACCTTCAAGGAGGGAGAGTCTACCATCTTCCGAGTTTGTTCCACAGTTCTTACCATCAGAAAGCTCTTCCTGACATTTAGTCAGAATCTCCTTTCTTGTAACTGGAAGCCATTGTTTCAGGTCCTTCTGGAGCAGGAGAAAACAAGCTTGCTCTGTCTTCGATTTGAAAGCCCTTTAGGTATAACATCTCCTCTCAGAGTCCTCCTATCCAGGCTAAGCATACCCAAATCCCTCCACTGTTCCTCCTAAGGCTTGAAAAAGAAGAATCTGTATTATGGTCATAGGCCGGCATAAGGTAAAAGCACCTACATACATAAGTAGAGCATGCTAAATAGGCAATAGGGCAACTATAGAAGTAAGGGGTACATATACTCATTCTCTCAGTTACGACAGACCTGCAAAAGATAAAAACAGGTTTTGTTTCCTTTATCATCTTGGTTACTCTAGTCCACACACATTATAAAGACGATGTTGAACAACATCGGGCCCAGGACAGAACCCTGTAACACCCTACTTGGGACTTTTTTCCAGGATGAGGAACCTTTAGTAAGCACTCTTTGGGTTTGGTCAATTAACCAGTTACAAATCCACCTAACAGTTACCAGCTTCTCTGCAAGAATGTCATGGGGAACTTTGTCAAAAGCAGTACTGAAATCAAGATACACTATGTCCAGAGCCTTCCCCCGAAGTGTCTGGAGGTTCTAGTCCTTTTCAAAATAACAAATTATATGTAATCTTCTCCACTAGAGTTTATTTCAGAGTGAGTGGTACCAAGCATCCAGCGTAAGGTTTTGTGATGTTTTCCATTGTGTTTCAATGACTACTTGTGCTCTGAAGATCAAATATACAACCAATTCTTTTGACATAAAACATATTTAGTAACATTAATTTTAAACAAGAAACAAGGGTTTCTTTAGTATTATTTATCATTTCTGTCAAAATTAAATCCCCTCCAAATCTTGCACCTACTTACATTCCCACCATAAATGATAATCACAGGGAATATTGGTAGTTTATTAATTATGGCAAATGTGCTTGAGATACCCAAAAACTGTTTCTAAGAATTGGATGATCCAGACCTGGGCTACGGCCCCTCTGCATCAATTCTCCCTGGACCTTTGCTTTGACAGCCCCTCGAGACATAACCCAAAGGGCACAATAGTGACCCGCATTGCAAGATCAATGCAGTCCTAGTTTGTGTGCAAAATGCAACACAATTCTTCCAACAGAAAGTGCTGTAGAGGCGTCACATACTGAGTTACTAAACATATAAAAGTTATTCTGATTTTTGGCAAACTCTCCTGCCTTTGGGCTTCATGGATCTAATCCAGGAGATGAATTCTGGAATCAACAGTGTCTCCAACTCAAGGGGCTCTGCTGAGAGCTTGCCAGCTATTACTATTTCCAAGGAGAGTCTAAACTATTCTTTCAGAAAAAAATATCTGAGCTAAACCTGTCAAACACCAGTGCATGTTTTTCCATAACAAGTGACTCAAGGAGCCTTGTCTCAGCCCCATTACAAAAGAGTATTTATCTGGTGCCGATGGCAACTTGCTCGAAACAGACATAATGCTCAAACAGGCATAGGATTGTAGGGTTGGTTGGAAAGGACCCACAAGGTTCATGTAGTCCAACCCTCTGCAATGCAGGAATCACAGCCTAAGATTCCCTGACAGGTAGTTATCCAACCTATGTTTAAAAACTTCCAATGAATCATAGAATTGTAGGGCTAGAAGGGACCTCAAGGGCCACCATGTCCAGTCCCCTATCATGCAGGAATTGCAAACTAAACTTTTAGCAAGGAACAAGGACTTGACAGAATAGTATTTTTTTCTCCATTCAGTAGATTTTGGTCACATCTCAATTCCAGGGTTTTGCTGCCTCTGTCCTGTGGTCCATTCAGGTTATGGGAAGGAGATCGGCTTGGCAACCATGATGGATGACCTAACACCACAAACTAGGTGGAGGGGAAAGTGTGTTTCTGATGGTTATGGTGAACCTCCTTTTGTATTCCTTCTTTATATTACAAATTGGCTGTCATGAGCCAGAGTCAAGAGTAGGTCAGTAATAAAATACCCGGTGTCAGTGTAGTTAACTCTTAATTCAAATAAATTAGTGCAGGCCTAGTGATCGCAGCAACTCTTCCCAGTAGGTCTTGCCTCGATGAGGCAGTTGCGAGGACTGCCCCACGTTCCCACGATGTCTAAGGCTCCTCCCCCAGCAACCCAAGGCTTTATCTTCTTGCCTCTCATTGCTCCACCCTCTTCATTTCTCTGCATGTTCTGGGAGAACAGGAGGAAGGGGGACCACGTTGCAGCAGGAGGGGGAGATGCCCTGGCTTCTTCAGCAGCCTGCCTCATCTCTATCTCCTGGCTCCCCTTTTCTCCTTCCTCTGCCTCTGGACCACTCTCTGCCACAGCCTCTTCCTGCTCACTAAACCCTGTTACCTCTTCAGCTTCCGACACCTTCTCCTCCCAGTCAACCCCCTCTTTTCCCTCCCAGCTGCCCACCAGGTCAGAGTGCACCATACACCACTGATTATAGGAGCGCATGCTAATTCTTATCCAGGAGCCCATCCTTAAAGTTCCCTGCTGTAGCCCCATCTGCTTACTCAAGCAACTGTCTACTGTACAATTTAATGCCAACCTCCTTCCCTTGCAGCAAGACGGCTCCTTGCTCCTCCCTGGTCCTCCTTGTGCTTTTAAAGGGACCAGTGTACCTGCCAGATACCATATAGGCCCACTTAACCCGCCTTATACCATATAGGCCCACTTAACCGCTTCAACCAGCAGCAGTGACATTGTTATAGGTGCCACATAATACCCGTCATTTAGTGTGGCAGCACCTGCACTTTGGAGCTTCCTGCCTTTGACATCAAGCAGGGAGCCCTCACTCTATTCTTTTCGGTGCCTGCTAAAAACATGATTCTATGAAAAATCATTACCTGTGAGTCCTGCATTACAATGGGGTTGGGCTAGATGAACCTCTGGGGGTCCCTTCCAGCCCTAAAATTCTATGAATGTTCTGGAGAACTGAACGCTACTTGCCAGCCGCACCTATCAGCTTTTGCAATCTGACTTCTTGCATCAATCAAGAGGCGAAACCTCAGCCGTAATTTGAAGCAGCGTTCCAGTGGGGCTCATTATGAGTGGCAGGCACGGTGCAAAGTTTGCTGAGCTCAGGCCCCTTTGAGGTTTAGGCTGCAAAAAACTCCAGTGAAACCACAAGAAAGGCCGAGGGTGCATAATTGAGCAGGTGGAACAAATTTGTTAAATCTGTTATTAAGGGAGGGGGGTACAGCAACTTGCTTTCAAGCAGTAAATCAATCCGTGGCTCGTTGTTCCTTCAGTTGCAGGAAGACTGCGAGGAGTCTAAAAATATCAACAAATGGCAAGCAAAAATCCCTAAAGAACTGCTTCGAATTAGCGCCCCAAGGTTGCCAGGGCTGGTGACGCGGCACAGTTCAAAGTGTATTGAGACATCTCTCACGACACAGATGTTGATGGTGAGAGTCGATGTGCAGAATTAGCTTGGGCTTCAGATAAATGAAATGTAACTGCGGCTTGTGGACCCAGCCAGGAGTCATAGGTCTCATTTATGCTGTATCTGCACCAGAAACTGATAACGTGTTCAGTAACTGTTTCATTACCATCAGCGCTTAGTTAAACTATGGGACTATCTACTGCAGGAGGCAGTGCTGGCCGCAAACCTAGATGGCTTTAAAAGAAGACTGGACAAATTCATGGAGGGCTCGGCTATTGATGGCTGTTAGCCATGGTGGCTATGCTCCTCCTCCATGGTCAGAAGCAGCAATGCTTCTGAATACCACTTGCTGGAAACTGCAAGAGGAGAGAGTTGTCCTTGTCCTTGAATCCTGCTTGTGAGTTTTCCCTAATAGGCATCTGGTCAGTCACTGTGAGAAGAGGATACTGGATTGGATAGTTCCCCATACCTGATCCTGCAGGCTGTTCTTATATGAAATACTTGCTATCCTGCTGGAGGAACGCCCTGCATTATGTTAGTGACTTCTGCAGGATGAGCTACACTTCCCAGTTTGGCCTCATCTGCAAATTTGATGAGCATCTCCTCAATTCATTCATCCAAGTTGTTCCCTCACTGCAAGAAGTGAAGTTACAGGGAACCAGGCAGAAGGCCTTCTCAGTAGAAATGCCTTCTCCGTGGAACGCCCTCCCATCAGATGTCAAACAATAATATGACTTTTAGAAGACATCTGAAGGTAGCCCTGTACAGGGAAGGTTTTAATATTTGAGATTTTATTGTGTTTTTAATTTTCTGTTGGGAGCCTGCCCAGAGTGACTGAGGCAACCCAGTCAGATGAATGGCATATAAATAATAAAGTAATAATTATTATTATTATCATCATCAACATCATCAAGATCAAGACATTTAGCAACAACAGGCCCAGGACAGAACCTTAAGGCACCCCTCTTGTCACTTTTTTCCAGGATGATAAGGAACCATTAGTGAGCACGCTTTGGTTTTGTCAGTCAACAAACTACAAATCCACCTAACGGTTACCTTGTCCAGCCCACATTTTACCAGCTTCTCATGGGAACTTTTATCAAAAGCCTTACTGAAATCAAGATACACTATGTCCACAGCATTCCCCTGATCCACCAATGCTATCAAAACAGGGAAGCATGTCTGGCATGACTTGCTTTTGGGAAACCCATGCTGTGTCTTAGTAATCACAGCATCCTTTTCTAAGAGCTCACAGACCAACTGCTTAATTACCTGTTCGAGGACCTTTTCTGAAATCAGTGTCAACCTCACCAGTCAGAAGTTACCTGGGTCTTCTTTCCCCCTCTTTCTGAAGATGGAGGCAACATTTGCCTGCAGGGACCTCACCTATTCTCCATGAATTATCAAAGATTATAGACAGAGGCTCTGATATGATATCCGTGAACTCCTTCAGTACCCTTGGGTGCAACTCATAAGGGCCTGGAGATTTGAATTCATTTAAAGTAGCTCACCTCTTTTCTTATCTTGGGCTACAGCTCCCTCCTTACATCATTTATTCTGTTACCACTGGGTTGGGTACTGCTTTCTTTTTGGGTGAAGACAAAGGCAAAGTAGGGGTTGAGCAGTTCCACCTTCTCTGTGTCATCCAATAGCATTTCTCTTCTCCATGCACAGGACCTGTTACTTGCTTGTTCTTCCTCTTGCCTTGAATGAATCCAAATAACCTCCGTTGCAAGAAGCCTGAGTTCATTCTGAGCTTTAGCTCGCCTAATATTCACCCTACAACTTTTGGCTCTTTGTGTATACTCCTTTGTGATTTCCACTTTCTTACATTTCTTATACATGCCGTTCTTAAATCTCAGCTCATCTTTAAGCTCCTTATGCAGCTATACTGGTTTCTTTAGATACCTCCCACTTTTCTTGTTGAAATTGCCTGCATTTGGACATTCAGTATTTCAGCTTCAAGAAACTACAATCCATCTTGGACTGTCCTTCATTGGTGCTTTTTAAACAGGCGCAGGAATGTATGTATGTCATGCATTCTTAAGCTGTGATACCTGCATTGCAAGGGGTTGGACTAGATGATCCTTGGTGTCCCTTCCAACACTACAATCCTAGGATTCTATTCTATGAGGTGTTTACAACTGTTATAGAGTGTGAAACATTGGGCTTCTTTTCTGGAAGGGGGAATAGAATGTATTTTGTACGTTTCATCTTAGCTGGGTTGCTTGAGCATCCGAGAGGCAAAATAAGCTGTTGCTTAAATGAATTCCATTCACATCAACTTGTTCTTTGGCTGTGAAGTTGCTTTTCTTTTTGGTTTGCTGTTTTTCATCTCTGAATCGTTTTCTTCTTCTTCATTCCTCTAATCCCTTAAATTGTTTATCTAAGATTTTTCTCAGATTTGCAAATACCATCCTCTTTAGTAAGCGGTACAAGGAATGGCTAATGTAGATAATATCATGTTTCTGGCTTTGCCGTCTTCCTATGATGGAAAGCCTAGAAACTAAAAAATAAAAGTTGTGGAGCCTGCTCCGGTCTCATGTTTGCTGGAATCCCTAGGAGGAGCGGAATGAGGTTGTTGTGGACTGCAGATTCTGTTTGCTCTGTCCAACAGGCCACTTCAACAATACCCCTATGAAGAAAGGTTGCACCCTATAGGACTTTTTAGTTTTGAGAAAAGGTGAGAAAGAGGCAATGTGATATAAAATTAGACATGGCATGGAGAAAGTGGATAGAGGAAAATTTTTCTCCCTCTCTTAAAAGATAATCGGGGTGCTGCAGGCAACACTGGCCTCTGTCCCTCTTTCCTTCCCTCCCTCCTCTGATACCCTCTCGTGTCTCTGCCTCCCAAAGGCTTTTGCGGCTGTTTGCCTCAGGTTCATCTTTGGTCATCTCCATCAGGCTCCTAAGTCTGGGGGCATCCTTCTTCCAGGCCCCTGTGAGGCGACATGAGGCACCTCTCCTTGGAATGCGTTGGGGTGCTGCCCAGAGGACTCCCACTGAGAGAGGAGGCGAGGCTGAGGGAACACTTCACAAGGGAGGGAATTCGAAAAGGGGTGAGGGGCTGCCTGCTCTACAGACAAGGGGTGACATAACTAGGCTTCTGAGCCCCACAGGGGTGCCGCAGAAAGAATGTAGTTGCTCAAGAGAGCTGTGGACTCAAAAAGGTTGAAAACCTCTGGATTAGACAAATCCATTGAGAAAGAGGGTTATTAATGGCTTCTAGCCACAATGGTTATGCTCTACCCAGAAAAAGCTCATTAATGGTTCCTCAACATCCTGGAAAAAAGAAACAAGTGGGGTACTGTCCTGTCCCTCTTGTTGTTCAATATCATTATAAACAACTTGGATGTAGAAATTGAGGAGATGCTCATCAAATTTGCAGATAACACCAAAATAAGAGGGGTAGCTAATGCCTCAGAAAACAGAACCAGGATTCAATATGACTTTAACAAATTGGAGAACTGGGTTCCAACTAACAAAATGAATTTCAATAGGGACAAATGTCAGGTTTTACACTTAGTCAGCAAAAGCCAGCTGCACAAAGATAAGCTGGGGGACACCTTGCTTTCCAGTAGTACATGAGAAAATGATCTGGGTTCTTAGTAGACCACAAGCTTAACATGAGCCAACAGTGTAATGCAGCAAAAAAAGTGAATGCTATTCTAGGCTGCATCAACAGAAGTAATAGGCTGCATCAAGGGAAGTAAAAGTCCCACTCTGTTCTGCCCTAGTCAGATAACGCCTGGAGTCCTGTGTCTATTTCTGGGCGCTAAAGTTTAAGAATGGCATTGACAAGCTGAAGTGTATACAGAAGAGGGCAACCAAGATGATGGAGGGTCTGGAAATCAGTCCTTATGAGGAACAGTTGAGGGTTAGCCTGGGAAAGCGGAATCTGGGAGGAGATATGATAGCCATTTTCAAATGTGTAAAGGGCTTTCACATGCAAGATGGAGCAAGCCTGTTTTCTCCTGCTCCGGATTTTAGGACCCAAACCAATAGGCTTCAAGTTACAAGAAAGAAGATTCTGACTAAACATCAGGAAGAACTTTCTGATGGTTATGAGCTGCTTAACAGTGGAACGGACTCTCCACCATTGGAGGTTTTAAAGCCAAGGTTGGAAAGCCCCCTGCATTGCAGGGGGTTGACTAGATGGCCCTCTGTCTCCCTTCCAATTCTACAATTCTATGATTATACCTCCACAATCTGAGGCAGCATTGCTTCTGCATGCCTGTTGCTGGAAGGCACCGGAGGGTAGCGTTCTGCTTGCAAGCTTCCCATTGGGGCATCTGGTTGGCCACTGTGAGGACAGGACACTGGCACTAGATGGGCCATTGGCCTGATCTAACAGGGCTCTTCTGATGTGCTTATGGAATCTCCAAGTCCAACAGCAGCCTATTTCATTTCCTAGTCTCTTAGGGTTATTTGGCCACTGGGTGAACAGGATGCTGAACTGGATGAAACATTAGCCTCATCCAGCAGGGTTCTTCTTACTTTCTTATGTTCTCTGTGTCTTGGTTTGTTAAGAGGAAAAGCTCCTGCAAGCATCCGAGGAATCACTCCTCCTCAGATAAGCTGCTCCACATCTTTATTTTGGGTTTTCTTGGGCCATGGGATTTCAAAAGGGAATCGTTTTATAGCCCCACAACTGAACTCAATTGCGGAGTCAGAGACCTTTAATGGGATTTTCCTTTTATCACTAGCAAAGTTTTTACGGGAAATTAATTTTTCTCTAGCGACTTATTATGCAGAGTTGCTCTTTAATGCAGACAGCTGTCACCCAGCTGTGAGCCATCTGGAGTGCAGAGTGAGGAAACATCTGGATGCTTTAAGTCTGTTCGATGCTGTAGTGCTTAACTGGCTCATACTCCGTGTCTTATGGCACAAAAGCTTGTCCAACACTCTGCTTGCTTGTCTGACACGAAGGAAGTAGAGCTTTTAACATAGAATCATGGAATTGTAGAGTTGGAACAATCTCTCAAGGGCCATCTAATCTAATCACCTGCTAGGCAGGAATCACAGTCAAAGAATCAGATTCATCATTCAGTTATAGACCTGGAAGGTCTATAATGGGTCATCCAGTCCAACCCCCTGCAATGCCAGAGCTCAGTGGACTAGCTTTAGGGAAGGAACGTCAATGACAGCTTGCAAAGTGAGGAGTGGGGACCGTCCCCTTGCATCAGTTGAAGAGAACTACAGCTTAATTGAGTTCTCCATATGTAGTTGATTGAAACTGGGGTCTCTCTTGGGTTTCAGTTGCAGAGTCTTCCATGTCCAACTTGGATGGCGTTAGAAAAGGAGGTTAGATACATTCGTGGTCAATAAGGCTATCCATGACTGCTTCTCGTGATTATCACAGAATCATAGAATTTTAGAGTTGGAAAGGGACATCAAGGGTCGTCTAGACCAACTACCTGCAATGCAGGGCTCACAGCCAAGGAATCGCTGAGGAGTGGCTATTCAACCTCTGCTTTAAGACCTCTAATGAAGAAGAGTCCATTATATTCTACCGGAGACGACAATACTCTGAATATCAGATGCTGGCAATTACAGACAGGGCAAGTCACTGTGGCTCTCAGCTCTTGCTTGGGCGCTTCCCTCTGTGGCACTCAGCTGGCCACTGTAAGAACAGGATGCTGAACTCAGGCAGGCCTCTGGTCTGCTGCAGCTTGCTTGTTTATTACATTTTTTAAAACATTTTTTTCATTTGAGGAACTCAGAAGTGGTGGACATGGTTCTCCAACTCCCCCTGTTATCCTCACAACAACACAGAGATGGATTGGGGTGGGGGGCATTGATTGCCCCTTGGTCACACAGAAACACTAACCACTACACATTGGCTTGTTTCCTCCCTTCTCATCTCATTTAAACACTGCTTTCAGATTTCCTACAATAGTCTGGTTCGTCTCTGTGACAAAAGAATGCTGGACTATATTGACCACTGTTGGCCTAAACCAACGGACAGGTTCTTCTTATGGAACCTCCAAGGTCCAGAAGCAGTTTTAGATCTGGAAGCCGCTGGGGGACCCCGAGGGCAACTAGACCTTTCCAAATGGAACGTTGAGTCAATCATTGGGCCCCACTCATAAGCCTTGTTTTTGCTGTTCCAGACACTAGCAGGATGAGACTCCGTGCCACAACAGGGTGAATCGATGAGAGATCTGAAGCAAGCTCAGACTTGGCATGTGGGACTGGATCTGGATTGCAGCCCTTAGATTTGCCAGAAAGAGTCTTAGACATAGCCGCGGGCAAATGGGCTTAACAAACAACACTCTTGTATCCCTAGCAAAGAGCTCAACTAAACATTGAGGTTCATGCATCTAAGAACATAAGAAGAGTTCTCTTGGATCAGGTCAGTGGCCCACCTAGTCCAGCAGCATCAAATCTCAGTGGCCTAAGAATTGAGACAGACTGCCCCTGCACTTGGAGGTTCCATACAAAAACAGGAAGACCCTGGTTGTTGGATCAGGCTAATGGTTCATCCAGCTCAGCATCCTGTTCTCTCAGTGGACAACCAGAGGCCTGTCATGGGGAACCCACAAGCAGGACCTGAGCACAAAAGCAGCACTCTCCTCTCCAGCAATGGCGATTCAGAAGCATTGCTGCCTCTGACCATGGAAGCAAAGCAGACGTATCATGGCTAGAAGTTATTTATAGCCCTGTCCTCTTCCATGAATTTGTCTAATCCTCTTCTAAAGCTGTCTTGGTTTGTGGCCTTTACTGCCTCTTGTGGGAATGAGTTCCATAGATTTACTTAGAAGGACTTCCTTTCATCTGCTTTGAAAATATCAACATTCAGCTTCATTGAATGTCCACAAGTTCTGGTGTTACGACAGAGGGAGGAAAGCTTTTATCTCTTCCCTTTTTCCATCCACTTTAAAGAGTAGACTAAGGCTTATAAAATTATGCATCGTATGGAGAAAGTTGATGGAGAAAAGTTCAGTTGGCCACTGTGAGAACAGGATACTGGACTAGGCAGGCCATCGGCCTGATCCAGGACTCTTCTGATGCTCTCATGGAACCTCCAGGCCCAGAGGCAGTCTATCTAGATTCCTAAGTTCTTAAGGGCACTTGACCAATGTGGGAACAGAATGCTGGTCTAGATGGGACATTGGTCTGATGCAGCAGGCTCTTTGTATATTCTTACATTCCATGTTAGCAAGTTATTATCTTCAGGTCTCAAAAACCTTTGCCTGTTAGGTTAACAGAAAATAATGGTGATGTTTTTTAAAAAGTAACAGGACTATTGAGTCAAGAATGTCATTGGCCACCAGCCTGCCTTTGGGGTAGGCTGGCTGGCTGGAGAAGGAAGTGGAGAATGAGAAGGACTCTCCAGTTAGAGCTTGGATCAAATGGAGCTTGAAACGCTGATCCTAAGTAGGCATGCCAGTTTCTGTAAAATGAATGAGTACCGTATTTTTCGCTCTATAAGACGCACCAGACCACAAGACGCACCTAGTTTTTGGAGGAGGAAAACAAGAAAAAAAATACTCTGAATCTCAGAAGCCAGAACAGCAAGAGGGATCGCTGCACAGTGAAAGCAGCGATCCCTCTTGTTGTTCTGGCTTCTGGGATAGCTGCGCAGCCTGCATTTGCTCCATAAGACGTACACATATTTCCCCTTACTTTTAGGAGGGAAAAAGTGAGTCTTATAGAGCAAAAAATACGGTAAACTGTAGAGTTGGAAGGAATCCCCAAGTTTCATGTAGCCCAACATCCTGCAATTCAGGAATCACAGCCTAAGAATCCCTGACAGGTGGCCATCCAACCTCTGTTTAAAAACCTCCAATGAATAATATAATCATAGAGTTGGAAGGGACCCAAAGGGTTATCTACTCCCAACTCGCTGCAGACGGTTTGGACTGGAGACCCAGTCTAGTGGTGGGGGTGCTTGGTGGGGCTAATGTTCTACTAAGCTGACATCAGGGCTGGCTTGGGATCAGTATGCAAGCCTTTTGCTTCCTTGGTTAGTGTGGCTCTTCCTCCTTAATGCTCATATTGTTTGCATTGGTCCTGGCTGGATGAGGAACATTTGAGGAAGTTGGGGATGTTTAGCCTGGAGAAGAGGAGATGATTGAGAGGGGATATGAGAACCATCTTCAAATATATGAAGGGCTGTGATTCTATGAATTAGTAAAGTTGAAGTAGCTTTGTGGTTGAGTCCTGTGTTCCTGAGTTGTTGGCATTTGTCTGTCTCCAGAGACAATGGAGTGCACCGCTGGGCTGCAGAGTGTGCATGTGAAGTTAAGGCCTCTCTGTGAAAACCTTCCTTCTGGCAATGAAACAAAGGGGGGTTTGGCGGCCGCCATATATTTCATCTGCATCTGAAAGCAGTCGCTGATATAGATCAGCAGAGCCCTGTTTTCTGCCAAGGCACAGGAAGCGTTATCTGTGTCAAGGAAGTTTACCCACTGAGATCGGTAAAGGAAAAAAGAGTGGGATAGAGAAAAAGTTTTTTTTAAGAGATTAATTGAATGAATCACTGGGTTTGTTGAGCACCCTGCCTAAGAGAAAAGGTGAGCAAGAGGCAACATGATAGACGTTTACAAAATGATCCATGGCCTGGAGAAGGATGATAGAGAACAATTTCCTCTCCTCTCAATAACACTAGAACTCATGGAGATCCCATGAAGCTGAATGTTGGAAGATTCCGGACAGACAATAGGAAGGACTTATTGACACAGTGCATATTTAAAATGTGGAACTCCTTCCCTCAGGAGGCAGTGATGGCTACCAACTTCGATGGCTTTAAAAGAGGATTTGACACATTCACGGAGGAAAGGGCTGTTAATGGCTACTAGCCACAGTGGCTATGCTCTGCCTCTACTGTCAGAGGCACTAATGCTTTTGAATAGAATTTTCTGGAAACCATAGGAGGGGAGAGTGCTCTTGTGTTTGAGTCCTACTTACTGGTTTCCCTTTGGGGCATTTGGTTGGCCACTTTGAGAACAGGATACTAGAGCAGATAGGCCATTGCTTTGTGTTCTTAAGAGATCTTAAAGAACTGACATGTGACTGGACATCTCCAGAAGGTTCTGTCTGAGGTCTGGGCAGACAAGAGTCCTATATCTGTAAGTGTACAGAGGACCACTTGGACAATAAAAGTAAGCATGTCCAAAATAACAACAACAACAACAACAACAACAACACACCCTGTCACTCTCCTATCAGGTTTATCCTGGTGACCAGAATGTGAACTTCTAAGAATGTCAGAAGAGCCATTCCAGATTCAGTAAAGGGCCAACCTAGTCCAGTCTCCTCTTCTCATAGTGGCCAATCAGATGCCCCAACAGGAACCCCTGCTAGCAGGATCTGAACACAAGATCCCTCTCCCCTCCTTTGGTTTCCAGCAACGGGCATTCAGAAGCATTGCTTCTTCTGACTGTTGAGGCAGAACATAGCCATTATGGCTAGTAGCCATCAGTAGCTCTCTCCTTCACAAATCTGATCCTGTTTTAAAGCCATCCAAGTTGGTGGCCGTCACAGCCTCCCTTTGGGTCCCTCCGAACACTACAATTCTACGATTCTATTATTCATTAGAGGTTTTTAAACAGCTTAGGTGGCCACCTATCAGTGATGCTTTAGCTGCGATTCCTGCATTGCAGGGGGTTAGACTAGATGACCCTTGGGGTCACTTCCAACTCTACAGTTCTATGATTCTATGTCTTAATCTCTGCGTTTGGCACAGCTATACCCTGCACTGAAGGCAACAGCCTGAACAAACAAGCTACTCCTAGTTGAGCCCCGTTCATGTTCGGGCAAACGCCATTCTTTCCTCCTCTGTTTTTACAACACATATTATAATATATATTTGGAGCAGTGATGTGATCTGGCAGCATAAATTCAGTTGATGCCTTAATTACCACCTCTGAAGGATGTAATCTGCGTTTTTTAATGCGCTACAAGGAACGGCCGTGTTTGGGAAGAAAAGGTGTTGTTAAGTCAGTTGTTGTCAACAGCCTCAGGAGTGATTTGGCTACCCGGCGCACCACGGGCAGAAGCTTAATGGACACAATCCACTGCCCTTGGGCATGTTTATGTTGCCTCCTGTTGGTGCTGGCAAAGCACACACCCCCATGGTCCAATGTAGTGGGAAATGAATTGATATATACATGGATAGATAGCTTCAGGAGGCTGTAAAAAGAAAGCATTAAAACAGTGTTTGAGGGCGGGCAATATTGTAAAAAAGAGAAAGCCTAGAACAGCTTTAGCAAAGTGTCCTGCCAGGCAAAGAGCTCATAAATGAACTCTGATTCCCACTGCTGTTAAGGGTGGAGCTCCCTGCCTGGTGATATGGATACCTGGCATCAGGCCTGTGCAAAGTCTGTCTGAGTCCTGGAGCGGGCCGCCCCTCCCACCCCCCGCACAGGTTGAAGAGGAACCTGGCGCTTAAAGGTGTATAATGAAGGCACCAGCTGAACCTCCCCAGGGAGAGCATTTCACAAATGGAGCCACTGCAGAAAAGGCCCACTTTCATGTTACCAACGTCCAGACCTCTTGTGGAGAAGGCACACAAAGGAGGGCCTCAGAGGATGATCTCGGTGTGCTGCTCAGCTAAGAAAACAAAGTCCAGAGTTTGGCCTGTCACATACGTTGGGCCAGTGACATGTTGGGACAGCCCCATGGGCATCATGCCAGCCATGAAGTCCTGAGCCATCCCAGAGCCAGTCACCTTGGCATGGATGTTGAAGTGCCCCAGAACCAGAAGTCTGGAAGTCCTTAACACTGCCTTTGAGACCAGCATCTGTCAGTTCAGGCAGGGAGACTTCTGGGCAGCAAGTTGGGCAGTAAAGCATCCCTAATCTGTTCCAATTGCCCAATGCCAGGAACACATATTCTAGATCCAGCCCCCCCCCCCCCCATGGGACAGAGAGAGAGGGAATTTCTACAGCAATTCCACTCCCCAACCCTCGTCTGCCCTGATACTGCACTAAGTGGGCACAGCTGAGTGAGACCGACGTCATCCTGCTCACCCACCCGGGCCTCAGTGATACAGACCAGATCGGCCTCCTCCACAATGAGATCAAGGATGAGGGAGGTCTTGCTCCAAGCTGACCTGACATTCAGCAACAGCTGAATTTAGCCTGAAGGAGACTGATAGGTGCTGTGAGAGGGCCCCAAGAGGACTGGAATTTTATGTTTAGGGGAAGGACCAGCATCTGCACGGCATGCAGAAGGTCCCAGGTTCAATCCCTGCTGGCAGCATCTCCTGGTAGGGCTGGGATAGAAAACCTTGCCTGAAACCCTGGAGAGGAGCTGCTGCCAGTCATTGTAAACATCACTGAGTTAGATGGGTCCACGGTCTTGACTTGGGAGCAGGTAGCTTTCTGTGTCCCTAATAGCTTTATACTTTGTGCTGCAGGGGGGGGTTTTATGGGGGGGGGGTTAAAAAAATCTGCCAGGTGTTTTATTTATAAGAGTTCTCCATGAAGCTGATTTGCGTTTGGGTGACCTCAGGCTATGTTTTCCAAAGAGTTCCTGTTTTGTTTGTCCACCATCCCATAATATTAACAGATCAGGTGCTCCATAGAGGACTCTTGCTTGTCATTGCAGGGCTATTCCTTTTGTTCTTTTCTGGTAACAAAGACTTGACCCGCTTGCTGGTAGGTGTGAGTCAGCCTTTATGTTACTCCCCTCCACACCCTGAATTGAAAAAGTCCCTAAACTTTGCTAGTTGCAGGACATCTGGGACTCTGGTTGGCCACTGTGAGAAGAGGTTATGGGACTGGCTGGGCCAATGGCCTGATCCAGGAGGCTCTTCTAATGTTATTCTGCTCTTGTACTCAGATACTGCTTGAGTGTTTCCCACTGGGGCATCTGACTGACCACTTTGAGAACAGGAGGCTGGGCTAGATGGGCCACCAGCCTGATGCAGCAGGTGGTTCTTATCTTCTGATGTTCATAACATGCGACTGGTTAATTTGATTTGATTTATTATATTTCTGTGCCGCTTTTCATTCAAATGAATTCCAAAGCGGCTTACAAACAATAAATAACAATGACATAATACTGTAGCCTAAATACAGCCTAAAACATAAAGAATAATTAACAGTCAGTGGAAACAATTACAGTCTGTAAAACACTGTTAGCAAAGTAACAATTAAAAAAAAAAAGTTAAACATCACAATTGAAGCAAAAGTCATATGACTAACAAATCAATACAGCATTTATAATCTATAAAACAATATTAACAACATCAGCAAAGTAGCCACCAAAAAATGAACTTGTTAAGTTCACACACACACACACACACACACACACACACTCCACACCCCCTTGACTCATAATCCGTCACTCTGTTCAGCTTCTTAAAACACACACACACACACACACACACACACACACACTGCTTGGGGCAGCAACTTCCTTCTGAAGGTTCCTTCCTTGGGCTGGAGGTAGGGCAGCATAGGTGGCAAACAGAGTTTTCTTCCCTCACAGTTCTTCCTTTGGAATCAGCTCCCTTAAGAAGACTCCTGGGTAATGCAGGTGGAAAGAGCCATTACCTGCTCTCCCCTCACCACTGTGCTTGGCCAGTTGTGATAACAGGATGCTGAATTATGTGGGTCACTGGCCTGATCAATAAGGTTCTTCTTATGTTCTAAGGCTAGCTTAGAACATAACCCATCTCGCTGCAGAGCAGATGCCACAATTTCAGGGGCAGGGAGGTTTGCTACTGAGGGGCTCCCCTGGGGTGCATCGACTGTACCCCACCTTGTGTCTCTCGGGAAGAGATCTGGGTTCTCTTCTTGCAAATCTTCCGAGAGTCCAGTGAAAGTGTTTCCCCTGGCAACTTCTTCATTCCACTGGGATGGTGGAGTTGTGATTGCTGCCCATTGCAAACAGCTATCACACCACTTACTCGTCAAAGTTTTCTGGGTGTAATTGCTTCCTTGTGTATGATTGCTACCCTGCCACAATAATAATGCTGCAACAACCATCCAATCTGTTCTCTGTTATGTAAAGTGAAAGACAAATTCTGGATCATGGTGACCTTGAAAGCTGCTATTCTTTTGTTACTTATTACAGCATAAGGTTGCACATTACCATTGAACTTCTGACTCAAAACGTTTTAAAAAAATGCATTCTTCCCCATAAACCTGGCTTATATGTATTTTTGTAGGAAGTTAGCTTAATCATAGTTACTATTGACCAACTTTTCTCAATCCATTCAGATACAGTAGGAGATACACTTCTTTTTTCAATTTTTTAGCTATTATAATCTCATCAGCAGTTATGAGGATAAACACTGTTTCTTGGTCTTCTCTGGAATAACATATTTTAGATAACAAAGCAGAAATATTTTAGGTTACATGGGTATATGATATCCTAACATATTAGAGGTGTTAGCCTGAGCAGATTTCTAGAATATTGACTTTCTTTTAGAGAAAAGCTGTTTCTCCACCTGTAAAGTCCCTTCGGTATTGCAACTCAAGGCAGGTGTAGGATGAGAAGTAAAATCTGGGGTGTAGTGACCTCCCTTAGGGGATCCCACATTCCTCGGCATTGAGGTATCCTCGCCTTTTTGAAACTTTATACCGGCCTCAGCACCTGGGTAATGAGTTTACAGCCTACAATGCACTAAATTGTAATCTGTGCTGTTGCAAAGAACGTGTCTGCCAAAGAATCCAGAGTGCTCTGATATATATATATATGATTATGAGATGCTCATCAGATTTGCAGATGTCATCAAATTCATGGAGGAGAGGGGTATCAAGGGCTAGTAGCCACAATGGCTATGCTCTGCCTCTACAGTCTGAGGCAGCAATGCTTCTCAGTGCCAGGTACTGGAAAACGCACAAGGGGAGAGGGCTCTTGTGCTCAAGTCCCGCTTGCTGGCTTCCCATAGGCATCTGGTTGGCCCCTGTGAGATCAGGGACTATGGGCAACTTTGGCCTGATTCAGCAGGGTCATGTTCTTATAAGAACATAAGCAACACCCAGAGGCCCACAGGTTCCCCACATTGTCAGACAATGCAGAATACCTCCAGGCCTGTCTTTGGATGGACACATTCGTGTTTTCTATTTTGATTAGCAAACTAGTTAAAGATGTATTAATTTCAATATGGGTAAATATCAGGTTCTCTACTTAGGCAGGAATAACCAGACACACACATATAGGATTGAGGACGCCTGGCTTGACAGTGTGAAAAGGATCTGGGGGGTCATAGGAAACACCAAGCTTAATGTGAGCCAACAGTGTGATGCAGCAGCAAAAAAGGGTATTATGCAATTCTAGACTGAATCAGCAGAAGTTGAGTGTCCAGATAAAGGGAAATGGTAGTACTGCTCTATTTAGCCTTGGACAGAGTCTGCCCGGCACCCCAGTTTATGGTGGATATTGATAAGATGGAAGGTGGGCAGAGGAGGGTGACCAAGATGATGAAGAGCCCGGAAACAGGAGGGAGAGATGGCCACCAACTATATAGCTTTAGAAGAGGATTAAACAAGAAGAGGGCTGTTTAGGGCTGCTATCACAATGACTATGTCTCAACAATCTGAGGCAGCCAAAATTCTGAATACCACTTGCTAGAAACAGCTGGAGGGGAGAATGCTTTTGTGCTTGAATCCTGCTTATGGATTTTCCATTGGAGCACCAGAACTACCCCTGTGAGGCCAGGATACAGGACCTGTTGGCCCATTGGCCTCATCCAGCATGGCTCTTCTTACATTCATATAAAGATGGCCATAGGCAGTGTTAACTGTGTGGCATTGTCCCTTTTGCCAGCTGCTTTTTTATGTGTGTTTCAGCCCCAAAGGTGGAACTTATGACCCCTTGTCTTCCAGGTGGCATTGCTGAAGTTCTTCTCCCCTGAAGAAAGGCCTTTTTTCGGGGAAGGAAGCCGCCGTGTCCGGAGGAATAAGCGGAGCAAGAACAGCGAAGGATCAGAGGGTGAGAGAGAATCTTTACCTTTTCTGTTTTAATGTTGCATTTCAACACACTTCACAGCCAGCAGTCAGGCATTGCAGGGGGTTGGGTTCCCTTACAACTCTATGATTCTTCTGAGCCACTATACATCGGCTCTTTTCTCTTTCCCTAAACAGGGAGATGTCCTAAGATCATGTGCTCCATCCCACCTGCCTTTGACCCAGCCATCAGCTGAGGCCAGGCACCTCTCTCTGAAAGCTGCTCCTCAGGGAAGGGATGCAAGAGCCCTTAGGGCACAGCCTCTGATTGTTGCCTTTCAGAATTCACAGCATTCATCTTTTTGTGGGCTTCAGCTTAAGCTCTTAAGAGTGCATCAGAACACATAAAAGAAGATCCTTCTTCACACAGTGCATAGTTAAACTATGGAACTCACTCCCACAGGAAGCTATGATGGCCACCAATCTAGATGGCTTTCAGGTGGCGGTCTCTCCTTTGTTGGAGCTTCTGGCAAGAAACTCAAGACAGCTCTGTGAGATCCTCCCAGAGTCCACCAAGGTGGAGAGCTTCTAAGCTCTTTCCACACCTGGAGAACCCTGCGCAAAAAGAGCTCCTAAGCTTTCTGCACACTTAATTTGTGCTATTTCAACTGGCTGCGTAAAGTTGAAATCATGCAAACTAAAAGGTGCTCAAGTTGCAAGCAACCTGCAGCTCATAGTTCATAGGCGGGGTGAAGCATGCTTAACGGGATCCTTCTTTTCGGCTTGCGTTAAAGGCTGCACCACAACTATCTATCGTGCACGGTTCTGCCTTCCCCTGCAGGCGTTGAGGTGGGAATCCGAACAGAGCTCTGTCTGTTACGCAGCTGACAGATATTGCCACAGTTCTAACATATGCAGACTCATGTGTTTCAACAAAATACCCAGAGGGCTCTTGGCTAGAATTAAGAGTTTATTTTTATATACCACAGCACTCTTTTAAAAAAAAAAAAAACCAAAAAAAACACCTCAATGCCACACTATTAAAATTCAACAATCCAAGCTGCAGTTCAACAGCTGTGTTTCTGTTCCATTTTCTAACACTTAATGCAGAACACTTAAGAACATAAGAATAGTCTGCTGGATCAGGCCAGTGGCTCATCTAGTCCAGCAACCTGTTCTCACAGTAGCCAGCCAGATTCCCGTTGTGGGAAATCAGCAAGCGGAAGAGCCTTGTGGATCAGGCCAATGCCCCTCATAGCTAGTAGCACTCCCCTCCATGAATTTGTCTAATCCTCTTTTCAAGCCATCCAATTTAGTGCCATCACTTCCTCCAGCAGGAGGATGTTCCATAGTTTAACTAAGAAGTCCTTCATTTTATCTGTCCTGAATCTCCAAACATTCAAGCTCTAATGTTACGAGAGAGGGCGAAGGTGGACGGATATGGTAAGAGCCCTCCCTGCAGATATATTCTAAGAACGGAAAGCAATCTGCATCAAAAAGGTCAGTTTTAGCCTCTTCCCCAGACCACCCTATATCTGTGTCTGGTCAAGCCTTCTGATGAAGCGATGTCCCAGACGTTATCAGAACGTACTTCACATGGTAAAGCACCATGAAATTTCCAATGAAGGGCAATAAATAACCTGGTGTCCACTAGTAACTAGACTGGATTTCTATTTGTGAAGAAGGGGTTGGCATCATTCTCTAAAGAGAGAAGAGCCAAAAAAGGGCAGAATTAGTGCTGTTACAGGCACCACATAGCCCATCCCACATTTGTTTAGTCTGCCAGCGCCTAGACTTTGGAACTCCCTGCCTATTGACACCAGGCTGGTACATTCACTGTATTGTTTTTGGTGCCTGCTAAAAACATTCTTGTTTAGACAAGCCTGTCCAGATGTTTATGAAGTTGAGGTGTATTATAATCTTGTTTTAGCAGGGAAAGAGAAATGCTATTGGGTGACAGAGAAGGCGGAAATGTTCTGCCCCTCTACTTTGCCTTTGTCTTCACCCAAACAAAAGCAGTGCCCAACCAGTTGATAACAGAGTAAATGATGTAAGGAGAAACAACAGTGACCTTACTGTGAGTGTCTGCTGTAGAGGGAGTGGAAGGGCCATTGACCTGATCCATCGGGCTCTACTTAGGTTTTCATGTTCTTTGTCCAGAGGCTATCCCAGAGTGTTTCATAGGTGCGGTTTTGAAATTTGTTAAAACCAGTGCCGTTTCAAAAGGCTAAGCCCAGCATCTTGATTCAAAAAGGGGCGCCCAACCATCTCCAGACATAGATGGTAATCTGCGCCAAGGGACTGCGCCAAGCAGATCAGCAATTCTCTGCAAGATACCGTGGAAGAATGAACACGTAATTAAGGAAGAAAATATGTGACATTAATTCGACATTGCAGGGAAAACAGATTTATAGGAAGGGAAGATTTTTCTTCATGTCTCAGACTTTTTAAAAAAGACTTCTGGCTACTTCTAGCATAGTTGAACACTGGCTGGGATGACTAATCCTTCTGTCAGCAGGTTTTTTGCTTCATATTTTGTTTGTGGCTCACAGGTGAAGAGAGAGCTGGAGAAATAAACCTCTATCCTTGCAAGCTGCAACCTGCTGCAAAAGGGCAGGAGATTTTCAGGATTTGCAGTCGTGCTGAAAGTCAGTGGAGCAATGACTGGTGCTGGAACTGAGGTTCAGGAATGGTTCCCTGGGACAACCCCAGTAGGGTTGGCAGCATGGCCAGTGGACAGTATCATAATGCTATTATACAAATCTATGGTGTGACTGCATTTGGAATATACCGTCCGTACTGGTCACTGAACCTCAAAAGGGATACTGTAGAGTTGGAAAAGAAAAGGGCAGATCAAATGAGCAGGGGGTTGGAATGATTCCCCCACGAAGAAAGTTTGCAGCATTTGGGATTTTTTAGTTAAGAAAAGGCAATCAGGAGTTGTCATGATGGAAGTTTATAAAATTATGCATGGCATGGAGAAAGTGGAGAGAGAGAAATCTTTCCTCCCTCCTAACAATAGGGATAGCCAGTGAAGGTTGTAAGATTCAGGGCAGATAAAATAAAGGACTTCTATTTGATAAATAGTTGTTAAACTGTGGAACTTGCTCCCATAGGAGGCAGTGATGGCCACCAGCTTGGATGGCTTTAAAAGAGGATCGGACAAATTCCTGAAGGAGGAGAGAGATATTGATGGCTACTAACCACTATAACTATGCTCTGCCTTAAAGGCCAGAGGCAGCAATGCTTCTGAATACCAGTTGCTGGAAACCACAGGAGCGGTTAGGGCTGTTGTGCTCAATTGTGCATGCTGTCTTCCCACAGGCATCTGACTGGCTACTGTGAGAATAGGATGCTATATTAGATGGACCATTAACCTGATCCAGCAGATTCTTCTTATGTTCTTATAGCAGTTGTTGTTCAGCAATGTCCAGAGGCCCAGAGTTTCCCCACACTGACCTCAGACACTTCTATCTTTTGTGTTTTGATTAGCAAACTGGTTTCAATATAGGTAAATATCAGGTTCTCCACTTGGGTAGAAATAACTAGATGCACACATATAGGATGGGAGACACCTGGCTTGACAACATCTGAAGGCCCGGATCTACTAGGCGCTAAGGTGGATTGCACCCTATGCCTTGCAGAGTCAGGCCCAGGTTGCCACTGGGCCCAGCACTTGCAGCAGCAACAAGCAGCTCTAGCTCTCCCATTGCCACCCTACCACTGCACTTACCTGACCTGGGGGTTCTGGATCATGAGCTCTACCTGTCAAAACGGGAGCCTCAGTAATCACCCTGTCCTGCTGGAAACAAATCAGGACTGCTCCAAGAAAATGCACATGGTAAAAAGGAGTGCTAGGCCCTGGTGGGCTGTCCCCTCACCCACTTGTGATTGGCCAAGCAGATAGCCAGTCAATCAGGATTTTTAAAAAATGACACACACACCCACTTCTCACTTCCCTCTGTGGTGCCTTAGCCTCGTGCTGTGGCCTCCCATTTGTGCAATTTTCACCTGTCCTTCCCCCTGGAATATCCTGGGTTCCTCCAGGGGGCCATATGGCTCTTGTTGGGGAAACATTGGGCTAGACGACCCTAGAGTTATTTCCAACTCAACAATTCTATGAATCTATAGTCCTCATTCACATCACTCCTTATTCACTGCAGGGTTTTGTGCACTCATGTTATTTCTTGAGCAAATCCAAGAAGTGCTTAATCTGCAGAATATGAAAACGTAAGGACAAGAACATAAACTGGACCAGGCCAATAGCCTATGTAGTCCAGCATCCTGTCCTCACAGTGGCCAACCAAATGCCCCAAAAGGAAACCTGAAAGCAGGATCCAAGCACAACAACTCTCTCCTCTTGTGGTTTCCAGCAACTGCAATTCAGAAGCATTGCATGCAAACATATTTCCTGGTCTATCTTCCTCTGTGCCACTCCTTTGTGATCCTCAAGACCGTGAAGTTTTTTCTTATTTTACTGGTGGATGAATGAAGATCAGCTTCGTGCTCAGCCTTCTGATTTTGCAGCTCCTTTTTCCGTTATGAGCCTGATCTTGATGTCTTAACTCCCCAGCCCTGAGCTCAAGCGGTTGCAATTGCACAATTGCCTTCCTCCTGCCAAGACACTTTTGCTGACAAGTTTGGGCTGAATTGGACAAGTATTTGAGTAATTTTGTAATTAGTTGCATGTCTGAGGTTTTCCTAACCTTTTTTATTTTTTAACTTGACATTTCTTCATGTTTTGGAGAACTGACGAGGTTCTCTCGGTCTGTATGCATTAAAGGATGAGGCTGACTCTTTCCAACAAATCTCAGCTGCTTGTCCAAAATTCAGGCCTTGTACAGGCTTATTTTTTAAAAATTTGTTTCATAAAAACTTTACACCTCTTAATTGTAAAACAACCTCATGGTAGTTTACAAAAAAAATAAAAATCCAGGAAAGGAGTTACAAGACTTTAAAACATACAAAAGTTAAAATATTAAAACAGATCAAAACTCACATCAACTTTCAAAGCATCTGGGCAGGCTTAATGAAACAAGAATGTTTTTCGTAGGCACCAAAAAGGGAACAGCGAAGGCACCTACTTGATATCAGTAGGTAGGGAGTGCCAAAGCGTAAGTGCTGCAACACCAAATGATTTGAGTTCTTGCACATTTGGAACAGGGATTTTGTGGCACCTATAACAGTGCTTCTTCCGCTGATTGAAGTGGTTGTGTGGGTATTTATAGGGTAAGGCAAAATCTCACAGGTAAACTGGTCCCTGGCTGGAAAGCACCTCCTGTTTGGTGCCACAGCTTGGCTTTTTCCTGAAACTGTTTGTGCAAATCTTGGGAGAGAGTTTATCCTCTAAAATTCATTGTCATTATTGTTATTCATAGAATTGTAGAGTTAGAAGGGACCCCCAGGGGTCATGTAGTCCAGCTGCATACAATGCAGGGATACCAGCGAAAGAATCCCAGTTAACACTGAGCTAGATGAACCCCAAATAAAGAGTGGGTTGAACTTCCCATCTTCCTTGTGGCTCTTCCCACTGAATTCTATAGCCTCTCCTTATTGTGAGTGGCACAGTAAGACAAAATATGCTCAGAGTTAGACCCTGAGTTTGCTTCTTTAGTTCATTTATGTGCCCCCACCCTGCCCCATATATATATAGTTACATGCCTCCTTGACCTCTGAGCCGTGAGAGACTCCAGGGGTTCCAGCAATTACCCAGGTTGAGTTTTGTTGGGGCGAAGGTCAGCAGAGACAGTGGTGTCTTTAAGATATGTGGTTTTATCTGCACATATAGACAACCTGACCATAGATTGAAAGGGCTCACATTTCCTCCTCCAGTAAACATGATCCCACACCCAACACCAGTGTTGCAGCTACCACAGTTTCCCAAGTGATAAGAGACTCTGGGCCGGGGTTCCCAGGCTTACCCAGGCTTAGTTTATTTGTAAGGAAGGTCAGTGGAGACTTCAGAACACTGTATATGTTTTTATTTACACATATATCCGAGGTGATCATAGGTTGGCAGGGCCAAAAGCCTACAAAGGTATTATTCTCTCCATCTTGCATTATCAGCTGTTCCCTCCCCCCTCTCCGCCCTGGGAATGTTTCCAAGAGAGACGAGGCCTTCATGAGCTGGAGGCTACAGCTAATTCTCTGAAGTATGAGAAGAGGTTTGACTTATGTCTTCTGTGCCACAGGTTCTCTTATTACACAACACACACCTAAAAAACGTATCTGTGGGACACACATTATCAGCTGTCTCGTTCTGCTGCTCCTGAATTAGAATTGTAGAGAGTTGGAAGGGACTCCAGGGGTCATCTACATCCTACATTGGAGGTTTTTGAGCAGCGGTTGGATGGCCATCTGTAGGAGATTCTTTGTTTCTGATTCCTGGATGGGGGGGGGCCTAGATGACCCTTGGGGTACCTCCACACCTTACAGTTCTATGATCCTATGACTGCCTGGAACCAGAGGAGAGTCCCTTCTCAGTTTTTTTGTCTGTTAGGGAGTTGAGAAGAGAGAGCTGGTCTTACTCCACTCTAAAGGGAATTTGATCATAATGCTTGGTCACCTTCCTAAGGAAACCCAGGCAAATGATTTTAACATTGCAATGAATTTGTTCCCAGCTAAGAAGTGTGCCAGTTCTTGCAATAAAGTCATAGAATGAGGGGGAAAGGGGGAGAATCTGAGTTTAATTAGGAACTTAAATTCTTCTTCTTTTTAATTGCTCTGATTATATAATGAACTTTGTTCTTTGTGAGGGTGTGGCCCATTGAAGAACATAAGAGTCTGGCTGCTGGATCAGGCCAGTGGCCCATCTAGTCCAGCATCCTGTTCTTATAGTGACTGACCTGATGCTCTCATGGGAAAACCTCAGGCAGGATTTGAACACAAAAGCAGCCTTCTCCCTTCCTAGGGATTCCAGCAACTTGTATTCATACACATTGGCATCGTAGCTAATAATCATTCGTAACCCTCTACTCCTCCAAGAATATGTGCACACCCCATTTAAAGCCATCCCAAGTGGATGACCATCACTGACTCCTAGGGGAATGAGTTCCACAGTTTAACCCTGCACTGTGTGAAGAAGGACTTACTTTTCTCTGTTCTGAATCTGCCTCTCCTTCCATTTGTTCCCCTTTTATGTTAAGGGCTTTAAAATAATATCCTAGGACATTAATGTAGCCTGTGAAATATGATTTCATTATTTGGGATGCTATGAAATTGGCTTCCAGTGGGGTAGTGGACAGGTGTAACAAGGGCCTTGGAAAGTGTTCAATTTTGTCAAACTCTGGCAGGATCTTTCTGTTCTCTCTCTCTCTCATCATGGTCACCTAGAATCTATTCACCTCTTCAAAATCCCCCCTCAAAGGCTCACTCTGTAATTCTTAGTTTCTAGTTCTACCAAGCATTGTGGGGAGTTGGACTGGGTGACCCTTGGGGTCCCCCAATTCTATGATTCTGTGTAGGATTGGTGCAGCACATGTTTTTAAGGCTCCCTTTGCATTGATCTTGAAACACTTCATCAAGGAACTGTGGGATGCTCACATGTGGCCAGCAGCACCCTTTGAAATGGGCCCTGCTAGGGCTAAGTCAGTTGAAGCGCCCCAGTCTGAGAGGAGATTTACCGTAAGTGGGATTCCTGCATTTCAGGGGGTTGGACTGGATGGCCCTCGGGGATCTCTTCTAACTCTACAATTCTGTGATTCTTTAGCCATGGTTCCTACATTGCAGAGGGTTGGACTAGATGACTTGTGTTCCACAATTCTATGGATTTCCACAAACTCGCGGGCATCTGAGGTTGTCACAGGCATGCTCCCTGCATCTTCTGGGGTTTAAAAAATGTGTTTGTGGGAAGAATCTCCTGCCCCGTCCAAGAGTTTCCCTCAACCGCACTTGGCACAGATGTACATCTTGTAATAGACGTCCCCCCCATATGGTTCTCATTCCCCCTCAGCTTGCCTTTGAAGCGAATTGGCTCCGTCCGTTTCAGATGCATTTGCCTCACAGTTATTTCTGCTTTCCTTCTGTTTATAATTCTTGCGGTGTGATGTGATCTATGCACATAAACACACACATATATAATTTCATAACACTGACAGGCTGAACGGACAGGTTTGCAGCACTCTGTTTCCATGTCGGGTTATTGGGTTGGGGAAACCCCTGCTGCCTTCAAGTTCATAAGAACATCTGAAGAACATCCTACAGGATCAGGCCAAAAGGGGACCTGTCCGGACCAATTCATGGTGATGGGCATCCAATGAAGTTGAATGTTGGAGGAGTCAGCGATGGCCACCAACTTCAATGGCTTTAAAAGAGGACTGGACAAATTCATGTAGGAGTAGAGGACTATTGGTGGCCATTAGCCATGAAAGCTGTGATCTGTCTCCAGTGCTTCTGAATCACATTTGCTGGAAATCGCAGGAGGGGAAGAGTTGGTCTTGTGCTTGAATCCTGCTTGCAGGTTTCCTGTAATGGGCATCTGGTTGGCCACTGTGAGAACAGGATGCTGGACTAGATAGGTGTCCATTCGCCTGGACATTGACTGTGAAAGCAGAAACTTTTATGCCAGGGGCAGTCTAGCTCAATGCCAGGACTGGTTCAGCTGCATGTCAGCACAGAGACTCAAGAGACAAGCGGTAAAGTTGATTCTTCATTCAAGGAAACAGAATACAAACAGAGAAACACAGCGAGACTGGCCCAAGTAAAGCAGTTGCCAGAACTGACAATCTGGTCCTCCCTCTTTCCTCTTAAGTCTCCTCCACGTCCAGCTGTTTTCCCTGCAGTCTTAAATTCCACCAGGGAGCTGCCCCATCAACCTCATTGTTCTGCTATATGTAAAGGTCCTTAGCTACAAGGGCAGTGTTTGAAATTCGCCAGGCACATTTTGCACCTGGCTATCAGCTACTTGAGCCCAAGTGAAGATGCCTGTTTTGGCGACCGTAACCCTGGTTAAAGGAGCCTTTGACGCCTAGCTTATATATCTGAGTTTCTAGCACTGAACAAGTGGGGAGTTGAATACAATAGAACCAGCAGGCTCATATGAATCTGTTGCAACCTCAGCTCCTACCTCCCCTGGAGCTTGTCTGTCATTCAACTGTTGTGTTTTCTTCCTCTTCTTCCTCACTCTCACTCAAGCCTGTTGCTTGCTCAACACCCAACCATTCTGCCCCGCTTGTTCAACACCCAACCATTCTGCCCCGACTTCATCCTCTGACCTGCCTTCCATGTCCCCCCACCCCTTCCCTGGCTCTGAGCCCTCTTCTTCTGAGACTTCCCTAAGGGATTCTCCAGCTGGAGCCTCCCACCATTCCTTATGGTCCTGCCAGTTCCTGATACTCAGTGTACCAGATGGTGGGGCACACAACTGGAGAGTGCATTTGTGCTCAAGTTTTGATTGTGGGATTTCCATTTGGTGCATCTTATCGGCCAGTGTGAGAACTAGACAAGCCCCCTTTTGCTTGATCCAGCAGTTCTTCTTCTTACGTTCTTATGCAATCAGGTGGTATAATTGGAGTCTGATACAAATTGCTGAAATGTTACCTGGAGGTGCATGGAGAAGGGAGGACAGAGAGGAGATTTATTATCCACCTTCAAATATCTGAAGGGCTATCACAGAGAAGATGGAACATGCTTGTTTTCTACTGTTCTGGAGGGGTAGGACTTAAACCAATGAATTCAAATGGCAAGAACTAAACATTAGGAAGAGCCTCCTGATAGTAAGAGCTGTTTATCAGTGGAATGGACTCCCTCAGAAGGTTTGTGGGCTCTCCTTCCTTGGAGGTTTTTAAACAGGTCAGATTTCTGTCTGTCAGGGATTCTTCAGTGTGATTCCTGTATTGCAGGTGATTAGAGGAGAGGGCCCTGTTAATCCCTTCAAACCCTGCAATTCTGTGATTCCTGTATTGCATGGGATTGGCCTAGATGACCCTTGGGGTCTCTTCAAACAATGCAATTCCCTATTTCTAAGAGATCTTGCCCAATGGATCTTCCCAGTGGATTTTCCTTATGCATGGCCATCCAGACCTACCAGTGTCAGCTTGTTCATGTGAATGAGGGGTCCACCAGAAGATAAACTCCTTTCTAAGTGGGATACATCCCCCTGTTGACTTGAGGACCTGCATTGGGAATTCACTGACCATGATATTGGTGTTGGGGTGGATGAGCAGGGTATCTTAAAGAACTCTTGCACCCAAATTTGACTGCTTTTATTATTGTGAACTCAGCCCTACCATCAATTTCCAATGAGGCTGAACATCCTTGGCCATGCCACAGCAAAGCATGTGAGAGGAAATAGCCTGTGGGTCTTTGAAGAAGGGTACCCTTCCTTCACTGGAAGTTAGGAAAACAAAGCTTGTGGGCCGCAAAAGAGGGTTGTGTTTTTTTGTTTTTGTCCCCCAGAATCTCCGTCTGAAAGGTTTTTGCTGAGTGCTAGACCAGAAAACGGCAGTGAAAGATAAAAGACTGATAGCTGTGTCTTAATGTAGCCTTTGAAATATGAGGAAGTGCCTAAATGCAGAATATTGTACAGCTGGCTGAATTACATACACACATAGATTCATTTGTATGCCATCTTTCCACTGTTCAACCCATGCTCAAGGCAACTTACAACATGAAAAAATACATATGTTGTTGCCATCCATCTGTCTCGGGAGACAATGGAGTGCGCATCCAGCGGTGAAGTCAAATCGCTGTGTTAGCAGTACCCAGGTAACCTCTCTGGGGCACAGCCCTGGGCAGTGTGTATGGAGGTCCCGAGCTGTCCTTCCGGCTGCACTGATGTGGTCCAAAGGAAAACAGGAATATGTCTGCCACCAACTTGGCTGCAGGAGTTGCCTGAAGGAGGCTAAAAAGGCAACACCCAACTGTCTTAGGGACTCCACACTGGATTTGTGTTGGGTTTACTCCTTAGCATTTTATTCCTCCAAAGATGTCCTGCAAGGCAGCAAAGGTTTAGGATTGTAGTTTTCCTTCTCCTAGATGGGCTACCTTCCCAGGTTGATGAGCCCTATCTGGCCCTCGCTTCCCTTTACAGCACATGCAGAAACTGCCTTCTTGACCCTTGGACTGATTATTGGTCTCATCCGCTCAATCCTCCAGAGGCTGTCTTCGCACACAAGGGAAACCCCTAACTTACTGAGGGTTTGAGACCCATTGGCTACCCTCACTTGGTTTAGCTAGCCAGTTGGAGCTGTTTCCCAGTGTGTGGCCACTGTCATATGCTGACAGCTTCTAGGAGCCACAGGTGAGAGCTGAGTGCAGGGCGGGGCCCCAAGGTGGACAAACTACCCCAGAAGGAGCATGAAGTGTCCTCCGCCAGTGGTATTACCCCTCCCTAACACACCATACATAAATACAACATAGCAAAAGTAGTCATAAACAATAAATAGAACATTTAAAAATACACAACAAACTGTACAATGTCCACATGAATCACTACAAGATCTAAGATAAAGATACAGAAAGGAAGGAAGGAAGGAACCAGCAACAAGCCCCCCTGCTTCCACCCAAAACAGAATCCTCTAAACAACACCCCAGCCCAAGATTCTGTTCAGCAGCCTCAGCTTTTGTAGCTGGAATGAGCCAAAGCTCCATCCTCCCTGGCCAGGTGGGAAAGGCCTGCAAAAAAGGGAGTGGGTCTCCCAGGACTCATAGCCAGTATGGTCTTGGGGAACTGCCAGCTCTGTGGAATCATATGATTGTAAAGGGACACCAAGGGTCATCTACTCTGACCCTTTGTAATGCAGGAATCACAACTAAAAAAAGCCCTGGCAGATAGCCATCCAACCTCTGCTGAAAACCTTCAAGGAAGGAGAGTCCACCACCTTCCAAGGGAGAACATGCCACTGTCAAAACGGTTCTTGCCACCAGAAAGTCCTTCCTAACATTTAGCAGGAATCTGCATTCATAGAATCATAGAGTTAGAATGAATCCCTGTGGTCATCTAGTCCAATCTAAACAAGATGCCAGGTTTTCGCCCAGCGACTTATTTACAATAGGAAGAGCTTCTCCCCTGGCGCCGGGTGTCTGGAAAATTGGAAAACCATCCTTCTCGTTTTGCGAAGGAGGTCAGAGGGGCTCCTTTAATGCCAGGTAATTAAAGCCACCTTTCCCTGGAAGGCGATGTCAAGCTGTTTCACAAGACGCTTCACTAAAAGCTTCATTTACTAGAATGACTTTTGCCAAAGGGGAACCAGAGCCGGCTCTTAACTGATGGGGGGAGGGGAGAGATGGGGACGGTGCCCCCTTTCTCTTTCACACAACAGAAGGCATCAGCCACCCTCAGAGGTCTTTATTTGACTTGAAAACCAGGAACCTTCCAGAGTGTGATCCTTAATAGATGATACAAAAAGTATGTCCACAGGATGGATAGATGTCTGCATGCATGCACCAAAATCTCATCATTCATTCCTACTTGGGCTGGAGAAGAGACTGAGAGGTGACGTGACAGCCATCTTCAAATACCTGAAGGGCTGTCACAGGGACGATGTTACAACAGTAGTTGAAAATTAATTTGCTAGGCTGGTGAGGAGGCTTATCTTCAAAACTATGCTTCCACTGGGTGCATAATAAAGTAATGCCAAATCCTATAAAAAGCATCTGGAGGTTCTCTAGGCCTTGTCGTAATCTCAAGTTATGTGTCATTTTCTCAATTCTAGCTCTGTTCCAGAGTGAGTGGTACCAAGTACCCAGTGTAAGATTCGGGGCTGTCTTCCATCGAGATCCAATGAGCTGCTAAGATGATTTATAAGACCAGCTCTTTCGACAGTACATCTACATTGGTATCATCAAAAGGACTTAGTCACATTAATAGCATTCTAGGATTCATTTGCGGTTTTTAAGGCCTTCTGTCAGGGACTCTTCAGCTGTGATTCCCGCATTGTAGGGATTGAACTTGATGACCTTTGGGGATCCCTTCCAACTCCAGCATTCTGTCATTCTGTCTCCCCATGGTTCCTTTAGGTGGGCATTGATGTCAGTAGATGCGATACGTAATTTCAAGTGACTAAAATATCTCTTCTTGTTCTTTTGCAGGTGCAAGCCCAACAAAAAAGAAAAAAGGTAAGCAGAAATTCAGACCTCTTCTGTCCTGCTTTGGGCCAGTCACTGCCTCTCAGGCTAACCTACCTTACAAGGTTGTTGTAGGGATTAAATGAGGACTAGGAGCTGGGAGACCAGGGTTTGAATTCCCAACTCAGCTTTGAAGCTCCATGGGTGACCTTGGGCTGGTTGTTGCCTCTCAGCCTGGCCTACCTCACAGTCTTGTGGGGATTAAATGGGAAGGGGGAGACAAGCCACTGTGTTGCAGTTATAGAGTGTTGGACAAGGACCTAGGAGAGACCACGGTTCAAATCCTCTCACTCAGTCATGAAGCTCACAGGGTGACGCTGGGGGGCAGTCACTGCCTCTCATTCTAACCCACCTCACAGGGTTGTTGTGGGGAATTAAATAAGGAAGGGGAAAGAACTCCCTGAGCTCACTGGAGGAAAAGAAAGGTGAATTACAAATGCAATAAATAAACGCAGTAAGACAGCGGTCATAGCCTATGATTGATCCAGCAGGAAGAAATAGCTGCTAAAATCCTAGAATTGGAGGCTTGGAAGGAACTCCCAAGGGCCACGTAGTGCCCCCCCCCCTACAATGCATGAATCAGAACTGTTGATTCCTGGTGGTTGTGCTTAGCTCCTTTGCAGACTGAAACCCCTCTGCCTTGACCTTAACCCTAACCACAGCTGCCTCTGAGCTTTACGCTCCATGCTCGCCTTACCCCAGGAGACCTGGAGAGAAATAAGCAGGGCAAAACCAGGGCCCCTCTCCCTTGAGGTCAAACCCAGAGGCATACAAAGGTCTTGGCCAGGCCACTGCTTCCGCATTCTCTGCCCCTCTCCCTTTCCCTCAAGAGGGAGGCTAGTGAGCAGAACATCCTGACAGACTAGCATGGCTTGAGGTAAAAATGTCTTCACAGGCAAAGTTGTATCTCCTGGTGGAGCCAGATTGGCCCTCAGACTGGATTTTTCCATGCCAAATGAAGAATTGTAGGAAGCACAAATGTTGAAAGCTTTCAAACTCATGCTAGGCCCAACCAAGAGCTCTCTTGCTATTTCCACCTCTTTTCAAAGGTTTTGGGGGTTTTTTTTTACAAAGGCCTCCATGGAATTGTAGGAAGCACAAATGTTGAAACCTTTCAAACTCATGCTAGGCCCAACCAAGAGCTCTCTTGCTATTTCCACCTCTTTTCAAAGGTTTTTGGGGTTTTTTTTTACAAAGGCCTCCATGGAATTGTAGGAAGCACAAATGTTGAAACCTTTCAAACTCATGCTAGGCCCAACCAAGAGCTCTCTTGCTATTTCCACCTCTTTTCAAAGGTTTTTGGGGTTTTTTTTTTTTACAAAGGCCTCGATGGAATTGTAGGAAGCACAAATGTTGAAACCTTTCAAACTCATGCTAGGCCCAACCAAGAGCTCTATTGCTATTACCGCTTCTCTTCAAAGGTTTTTAGTTTTTTTTTTTACAAAGGCCTCCTTGGTATTATTGTGGAGAAGCTGATAAACTGTAGGCTGGACAAAGTACGGTAACTGTTAGGTGGATTTGTAGCTGGCTGGCTGACGGAACCCAAAGAAGGTTTACTAATGATTCCCCGTCATCCTGGGGGGAAAGGGCAAGTGGGGTACCGCAGGATTCTGTCCTGGGCCAGTTGTTGTTATTCAACATCTTTATAAATAACTTCGATGAAGGTATTGAGGGGATGCTCACCCAATTTGCAGATGACACCAAACTGGAAGAGCTAGCTAATGCCACAGTAGGCCTTAACAGATGGGAAAACTGGGCCCAAACCAACAAAATGAATTTCAATAGGGACAAGTGTCAGGTTGTGCACTTAGGCAGGAATAACCAGCTGCTCAAATATAAGATAAGGGACATCTGGTTTGCCAGTTGTATATGTGAAAAGGATCTAGGGGTCTTTGTGGACCACAAGCTTAACATAAGTCAACAGTGTGATGCAGCAGCAAAAAAACCCCTAATGTTATTCTCGGCTGCATCAACATAAGTATAGTGTCCAGATCAAGGACCCAAAGCAATGGATTCCAGTTACAGGAAATGAAATTATGACTATAAACATCAGGAAAAACTTCCTGACAGTAAGAACTGTTCAGAAGTAGAATAAACTCCCACGAGAGGAGTGGACTCTCCTTCATTGGAGGTTTTGAAGCAGAGGTTGGATGGCCATCTGTCATGTATGATCTAGATGCAACTCCTGCATTGCAAGGGGTTGGACTAGATGACCCTCAGGGTCCTTCCAACTCTATGATTCTAAGATTCTAAGATTTTAAGAGCTGTGTCGAAAAATTTAGAGGGGGCTGATCGTACTCCTTAGTGCACTAAACTGATGGATATTGCCCTGCTGGAAAAACTAACTAATAAGCTGAGAGTCCTCAGAGGCTAAAGAAAACAGATGATTTTGTACCTGTTTTGTCAGTCTTCATCTTCTTTGTAAGCAAGGAGGAACGTAGCAAAAGACCCTGCTTGGCCCACAAATGAATATGGCTGAAACAGTGACTCAGGGCATTGAATTCTTGAATTTCTTTTCCGTAGCATGATAGGGCCCATGTTTTGTAACGGTGCCTTGTTTAACCATTATGTCTAAGCTGTAAATAGTTCCAATCGCTACATTCCACGCATTCATGTACTTGTGGTTTATTTATTTTGGTTTTATTTTATGTCTATTTTTATTCGGCAGTGCTCTATAATTGTATATGGACTATGTATATTGTCATTAGATGCTACTTGATTACATAGTATTTTCAGAATCTCATATAACCTTTAAAAAAAAAAAGGAAACAAAGAAAAAAAACCTATGTTGGCCAGAGTCTGTGGCAGGGGAGAGTAGTGGCCAATCAGTTCCAGTTTGTGTGTTGGAAGAAAAGTGGGTGCCTGTTCAGAAGCGAAAATTAACACGCACTGTTTCCGCAGGCAAAAAACATGGCCCCCCAGGACCGCCTGGCCCACATGGACCTCCTGGCCCCCCCGGAATCCCAGGGATCCCTGGGATTCCTGGCACCGCCGTGATGGGACCACCCGGCCCTCCAGGACCTCCTGGCCCCCAAGGCCCCCCTGGCCTGCAAGGCCCCACTGGTAAGTGCTGCTTCAGCAAAGGGCGATCATAAGAGCAAACCAGGCCTGTGTAGCCAGGGCAGGATTAACTCCATCCTTCCATCCATCAGCTGATACCACAAATGGGGGGAGATGGCCTCACAGGCAAAACTGGAGCTTCTGGTGGGTCGATATTGAACATTTGGGCAAAGGGGAAATGCCAGTCATGGTGGTTCAAATGCTGAACCACCTGGCTATCCCTGGCTGTAATATAATATAATATAATATAATATAATATAATATAATATAATATAATAGTAAAGGAACCCCTGACCATTAGGTCCAGTCATGGCTGACTCTGGGGTTGCGGTGCTCATCTCGCTTTATTGGCCGAGGGAGCCGGCGTACAGCTTCCGGGTCATGTGGCCAGCATGACTAAGCCGCTTCTGGTGAACCAGAGCAGCGCACGGAAACGCCATTTACCTTCCCGCCGGAACGGTACCTATTTATCTACTTGCACGTTGACATGCTTTCGAACTGCTAGGTTGGCAGGAGCAGGAACCGAGCAATGGGAGCTCACCCCATCGCGGGGATTTGAACCGCCGACCTTCTGATTGACAAGTTCTAGGCCCTGTGGTTTAATCCACAGTGCCACCCGATATTAATACACATTCTGTTTTGCAGGTGCCATGGATAAAGCAGGACCTAGAGATGTACAGGTGAGATATCTATCCTGAGGGAAGAATGACAATGAATCCTCATCTAGAAAAACTCTCCCTTCTTAACATGGAAAGCTAGCCTTTATTGAACAACAACAAAAAAAGCCCTTCTTAGTTAAGCACAGGAGGCAATGATGGCTACCAACCTGGATAGCTGTAAAAGAGGATCAGACAAATTAGCGGAGGAGGAGAGAGTTATTGATGGACACTAGCCATGATGGCTGTGTTCTCTCTCCACAGTTGGAGGCAGCAGTACTTCTGAATGCTAGTTGTTGAAAACCACAGGAAGGGAGGGGGCTCTTATGCTTGAATTCTGTTTGCTGATTTCCCTTTAGGGCATCTTGTCAGCCACTATGAGAACAGGATGCTGGACTAGGTGGGCTGGGAGCCTGATCCAGCTAGGCTCTTCCAGTGCTCTTATGGAACTTCCAAGTCCAGAGGCAGTCTATCTCAATTCCTAGGCTCTTCAGGGTATTTGGCTGCTGCAAGAACAGCATACTAGACTAGGTAGGGCCCCACTGATCTGAAACAGCAGCCTCTCCTGAAGGTTACAAGCACACAGACTCTTCCTGTAGCTAAAAATTGTTGAAGAGCAACTATGGTGGTACTCTTTGCCTATCTGAATCCCAAAGAACCTTTTCCTTGGTCACCAAGAACCTCTAATATAATCCTAGAGTTGCCGAGATGGAAGGGACCCAAAGAGTCGTCTAGTTCTCAAGTGCAGGAATCACAAGCAACACAGGAATCTTTGGCACAGCAGCTTTGTGTGTGCCTAGCAAAAGTAATTTCAAGCGGTCCTCTTTTAATTTGCAGCCGGCTGTTGTTCACCTTCAAGGGCAGGGATCAGCGATTCAAGTCAAGAATGGTAAGAATCCTGAGGAACTGGACTTTGGAAACTGCACCCCTTCTTCCTTCTTTGGTTCCATATCTTCTAACAAGGTGGGTGTGGGGAGAAAAGGCCCATCCCACGTGGCCATAGCATCCTAGTATTGTAGAGTTGGAAGGGATCCCAGGGGTCATCTAGTTTCACCCCCTGCAAGGCAGGCCTCACAGCTGAAAAATCCCTTAAAAACATCATGTGAATGATGGAATCATAGGGTTGGAAGGAACCACCAAGGGTCATCCAGTCCAACCCACTGCAAACGTAGGTATCCCAGCTAGAGAATCTCCAGACAGGTCATTAACCACCTTCTGCTTAAAAGCCTCCAATGAATCAGAATTGTAGAGTTGGAAGGGACCCACAGGGTCATCTAGTCCAACTCTCTGCAAGTTCAGGAGTCACAGCTCAAGAAAACCCGACAGATGGCCACCCAAGCTATTTAAAAACCTCCAATGAAGCATAGAATTGTGATGTTGGAAGGAGCCCCAAGGGTCTTCCAGTCCAACCCCCTGCAATGCATCTAAAGTATTCCTAACAGGTGGCCCCCCGACCCCGGTTAAAAACCTCTTCCTTCCAAGCCCCCATCCGCTTGCCTGCCAAGCGGCTGTTGCCTGTGTTCACGTTGCTCTGGTATTTTGTCTCTCCTCATCCCAACGGGTACTGAGTGACTGCCATTTTCTCATACTGAGATCTTTCAGGGGGAGTCCTCAACGACTGGTCCCGCCTCGCCCTGAACCCCCGTGTCTTCAAGCTGCATGCCCGTAGCGGGGAGCTGGAGGTGCTGGTGGACGGCACCTACTTCGTCTATAGTCAGGTAGAAGTGAGTACGGTCTGAGTATGGTACCTCTGAAATGCAAACCGCCTGGGTCGTCCGGGGCGGGGGCGGCTTTGGAGCAAGCAGAATGTGTCTTTATTACTTACTTTTTAAATCTATTTCTATTCTACCTTTCCTCCAGGGGTCTCAAGGTGGCATGCATATATTTCCCCATTTTATCATCACAACAACCCTGCAAAGGCAGGTTGGACTGAGAGTGACTGGCACCCAAGGTCTTACCCAGTGAACTTAATAGGCAATTGGGGGATATGAACCCTTTTCTCTCCTGGGTCCTAGTGCTCTTTACCCATGCAGCCGAAGGTGCTCACTCAGTGGTGACCTTGCGGGGCCAGTCTCAGCCTCACCTACCTCTCAGGGTTGTTGTGGGGGATTTAATGAAGAATACACCGTGTACGCCACTTTGATCTCCTTGGAGAAAAAGATGGGATATAAATTTGATAGATAAAGAAATGTTAACATCCTTTTAAAAAAAAATTAAAATAATACTTTGTTGGCTTGTTAAGAAAAAAAGGTGCAAACATAACAAAAAGAATTAATACAAGAATGGAACATTTTTGTTTTCTTAAAACAAGAATGGAACATTTTAAAGCACCACAGCCCGGAAGGACAGAAGTATCCAACGCAGCTCTGAAGGGATAGTAAAGTATCACTCATGCAAAGATCCAATTTACAAGTAATAAAGCTTTCTAAAACATAAAAAGTATTCTCCATCTCTGAGTTCCATCACTAGCAAGAATAAAGACTCTGTGTAGTCTTGGACGAGCCAGACATTTGCATAGACACTATGCAGTACGTTAGCTGTTGTTTCCTCATTACAGGGGGTGAATTAGATGACCCTGGGGAGTACAGTTCTTTTAATGGTCATTCAAGCTCTGCCCTTTAGATGCTTTTAGATTATGAAATACTTTTCGAAAAGGTTTTCGGCCAATTAACCAAATCCTTTTCCTCCCAGTCTGGGACATGTTGCTTCCATGCTGCTATCCCGCTGGAAAAGGCCTTCTGTTCCTATTCCCAAAATAGGGTGGCAGAGAGAGAATACCGTGACAGAAGGAGGTGCTTTGTTTTCAATCCAGTTGCTTGCGTACAAGGACAGGTCTCAAAGCATTGTAGGGTTGGAAGGAACCCCCAGAGGACATCTAGTCCAACCCCCTGCAGTGCAGGAATCACCAATGGCAATCCAACCTTTGTTTAAAAAACCTCCCATGAGGGAGAGTCCAGCACCTTCCATGGTCATTTATTCCACTCTCAAACAGCTCTTACCTTCAGAAAGTTCTTCATAAGATTTTGTCATTTGACTCCATTGGTTTGGGTCTTCTCCTCCGGAGCAGCAGGAAAAAAGCTGGCTCCACCTTCCAGGGATGTTGGAAGACGGCTATCAGGCATTACCCTCCAACATCTGCTAGCTTCTGCCTGTCATGTTCTTGCATCCTTCCTAGAGTTTTAAAACAGTTGCTTCCCTTCTGCAAGCGGAAGTCAGATCAGACCCTCTTGCTTTTTCTGAAAGGGGAGAGGTAGCGATGCTTGCCGAGGCATTCTTTTTATGGCTGGCTTTCTAAACGTTTTCGTGCTTTATCACAACGGTGCAAGACCCCCAGCCATTCTTGCTCCTCTTGCCACGATGTAGGGCAATACAAAGGAAATGATCAAGAGGGTAGAGCAATTCTCTTGTGAGGAAAAGTTGCAGTTGTTTGCGGCTTATTAGTTTGGAGAAACAGTGAGTAAGAGGCAACCATTATAGGAGTTTATAAATGATGCCTAGCATGGATAAAGTGCAAGGAGAAAAGCTTTTCTCCCACTCTCCTAACACTGGAAACTCATGGACATCCAATGAATCTGAATGTTGGAAGGTTTAGAACAGGTTTTTAAAAGTACCTTTTTGGCACAGTTTATAGTTAAACTGTGACATTCACACCCCACAGGAAGCAGTTGATGGCCACCAACTTGGCTTTAAAAGAGGATTAGGCAGATTCATGGAAGCTTGGAGGACTTTTGATGCCTACAAGCCACAATTGCTGGGCTATGCTATTGCAGTGCTTCTGAACACCAGTTGCTGGAAACCGCAGAAGGGGCAGTATTGCTCTTGTGTTCTTGTCCTGCTTCCCACAAGGAACTGTTCAGCCTCTATGAAAACAGGATGTTAGGCTAGAGGAGCCATGGGCCTGATTCAGCAGGCTAATCTTATGTTCTTATGAAATACTCTAGGGCTCCTCATTTGTTTGAACAAGGAATGTGCTGGTTGAAGGTCACTTGGGCATTTCAGTTGCCCTTAGAAACAGAGGTAGAATTGTAGAGTTGGAAGGCACACCAGGGGTCATGTAGCCTGGCCCCCTTGCCTTCTTAAAATAATGCCCTTTCCCCCCTGTCTAGGTATATTATATCAACTTCACGGACTTTGCCAGCTACGAGGTGGTGGTGGACGAGAGGCCCTTCCTGCAGTGCACGCGGAGCCTCGAGACGGGCAAGACCAACTTCAACACCTGCTACACAGCCGGGGTTTGCCTCCTGAAAGCCCGGCAGAAAATCGCCGTGAAGATGGTCCACGCAGACATCTCCATCAACATGAGCAAGCACACCACCTTCTTTGGGGCCATACGGCTGGGAGATGCTCCAGCATCCTAGAGGGGACTTGGACAGGGAGAACGGACAAGGGATATTTATTCATTGGTGCGGCAGCAGGAAGGAAGGGCATAAAAAGGGGGTCCCCTCTGGGTTTTGCATTAGGGAAAAGGAGATCCCCTAGCATTCACTAGGAAAAACTGAGGCTGGGGTGGGATCATATCACTCAGTTCTCTTTGACAAGCAAACGTTGGATCTTAAAATGAGACTCCTGGATATAGAGCCATGTGATCCATGGCCCATCTGTGCCAATTGTCGTGGAATATTCAGGTGCCCTGTGCTCAGTAACTTGTCCCTAAGTCAGTTCACTGCCCCCTAAGTCCATTCACTGCCCTCCCTGAGTTGAGTTTAAGAGGGAATGCAGACCTTTGCAGGCTAAGCAGGCAGACTTGTGTCAGCATCACCAACCCTAAGCTGGGGAAACAAACAGAGAAGCCAGTACTTCAGTAGGAAGTTGCTGAACACCTTTTTCATGTTCAGATATAGTCAGATATTGAACAGGCTGCAATTGGTAAGGATCCCAGAAAAAAATTGCACATGTGTTTGATGCTTACCTTTTACCCAATTTGTGGGGAAATATTTTTAATTCTAACTCTGGTGCTCGAAAGTTGTCGCCCACTCAGAAGGACCTCCACCATCCCAGCAAGTGACATTAAGAAACACTGCTGCCTCCAGATGTGGAGGTGGAACATAACCACAGTTGTTAGTAGCCGTTGATAGCCCCCTCCTGCTCTACAAATTTGTCCAGTCCTCTTGTAAATGCCATCCAAGTTGTTGGCCATCACTGCCTCCTGCGGGAGGGAATTCCATAGATTAATGAAAAATTGTTCCTCCCCTGCAAATTCCTCGGGTTTTGACCATGCTGGTAGAGTGGTGGTTCAGCTCCCCAATGCAGCTTAGGGTGGCCAGAAGGGTCCACGGGCACAGGGGAAATGGCCAGGCAGGCATGTTCTCCACTGTATGGTCTGTATATAGAATATACATAATGTACATAGACAGGGATGTAAGTTTACGTGAATTGTCAATATTTTCCATTGCAAATAAAACTTTTTCCAACCTGATTTTGGATGCTGTGTTTGGAATGGTCAGGCCTTCAGTCGGAGTGTGGGGAAATCATAGAAACGTAGAGTTGGAAGGTATCTCATCCAGCCCACTACAATGCGGAAACCACTAGATTGTAGCAGTGGACGCAACAGGTGACCATCCAATCTCAGTTTAAAAACCTCCAATGAAGGAGAGTTCACCTCCTTTTGATGGAGTCCGTTCCACGGTCGAGCAGCGCTTACCATCAGAAAGTTCATCCTAAGGTTTTTGTCTCCTTTGTTGTCACTTGAAGCCATTGGTTTATCTTCCATGTGACAGCCCTTTAGATGTTTGAACTCCCGGCAAGGCAAGAACCACAGTTCAATAATCTTTGACAGGTGGCCATCCGTCATCTGCTGACAAACCTCCAGTGAGTCAAAGATCAGAATTGTAGGGTTGGATGTAACCCCCAAAATTCATTTAGTCTAACCCCACTGCGATGCAGGAATCCCAGCTAGAGAATCTGCCCATCACTTGTATGGAGTTAACGCTTCTATAATCCTAAAACCTTGAAACAGATGGCAGACCAGTGGGATCCATGCTGACTTGCCTTCACTGATCCCGTAGTTGAAAGGGCCTGTCCCCAAGATTCAGTCCAACACCCTGCAATGCAGGAACCACAGCTGAAGAAGCCCTGACAGATGGCTATCTGACCTATCTTTAAAAGCAGTTTTGAATCCATTGGTTTGGAGCCCACCCCCAGTGTAGATATCCTCCTTTCCAAGCATGACATAAACCTGTGTCCCTTCCATGCACCACCTTGGTGTAAGACTCTTAATCTATGGTACAATTTGCAAATTTGTTGTCTGTGGCGACAGAATTTTCCTCACAGGCTTTCTGAGTCTCTTCAGTCCATCCTCACACCATTTTATTCTATTCCTCTTCATGAAATGAGTTTCAGGAAGCACCAGACCCTTCATGACAACTCCTACAAATAATTTTATCCTTAAATGCCTGGCGGAAGAAGCATTTTTCAATGTAAAACTTTTCAGTCAGCTCATCAGGTTTGTAGAGCCATTGGATTCATTAGAATCATAGAACTGTGGATTTGGAACGAACCCCCAAGGAACACTTAGTCTGCAATGCAGAAATCGCAACAAAAACCATCCCTGCATTATTTTTATTTATTTCCTAGACTGCTTTATGATTTTAAGCAAAATAATCTCTTGGTGGTTTGCAAGCTACATTCAAACATCCAGTAAAATATTCCAAAATAAAACATCACAGAAAAAGATAAAATATACATTCAAAACTAAGAAGAAAATATAATCTTAGGTTAAAGGTTTCAAAATACAGTGGTACCTCGAGTTACAGACGCTTCAGGTTACAGACTCCGCTAACCCAGAAATAGAACCTCAGGTTAAGAACTTTGCTTCAGGATGAGAACAGAAAAAATGCTCTAGCGGAGCAGCGGCAGCAGGAGGGCCCATTAGCTAAAGTGATGCTTCAGGTTAAGAACAGACCTCCGGAACGAATTAAGTACTTAACCCGAGGTACCATTGTAGGACATAAGACACAAAGGTCAAGTATAGAATGCACATTTAACACAGCAAAATTAACAAAAAAAAGCAAACATTTCAAAGTAAAGCTGTTCTAAAGGGGGTCAAATGTAGAATATGTATTTAGAAGCATAATTAGCAGGAGACTATTGTCTTAGACATTGGAACATATCTGCTGTTGTTGCTTCAGCTGCCAATTACAATTATTATTACATTTATTTATATCTTGCCTTTTTCCCAGACTGGGACTCAAGAGAAAATGGCACAGTTAAAATACAGAAAACTAAAAACACCTAAAAGATAATAAAAAGTAATTCAACTCAGAAGGGGTGCAGCTTTCCCCACCACCACAACCTTCAGCTCTAGAAGAACATCTTTGGACTTTGGCCAGGCAGACAGATCTTCCACCAGTGGCTACCTGCACTCTAGGATGGCACATCTGTTGATTGCATTTGTATCCCAGCATTTTCCTCCCAAGAATCCTTTGTTCTCTCCCTCCTCACTGAGAGCCAGGGTGGTGTAACGGTTAAAGAGTGTTGGACTATGACCTTGAAGAGACCAGGGTTCGAATCCCCACTCAGCCATAAAGCTCACCAGGTGACCTTTGGGATCAGTCACTGACTCTGCCTAATCTACTAGACAGGGTTGTTGTGTGGAGTTCAAGTGTCCTTGCTCAGCCAAGAAACACTGGGAGACTGTGGGGGTCTCTCAATGCATCTCAACCTAACCTTCCTCACAGCATGTAATCCAGCTTGAGCTTGAAAGAAAAGGTGAGATATGCATGTGATAAATAAATCCCCACAATAGCAACAACCCTGTGAGATAAGATTATGCTGAGAGGCAGTGACTGGCCCTCAAGGACCCCAGGGAGCTTAGATCGTTTAGATGAGAGCCTGGGGGCCCATTGTATGTTCCTGAGGTCGGGAGGGGGTCGGGACTGGCCCAGACCATCCCATTGGGCCACCCACAGTTTTGTTGCCCAAGGGCTACCAGTTTCCTCAGAGAGGAAACAATGGTCTGCTCAATCTGGGTGGGTTGAGGGATGCCAAAGGCCTAAAGATCATGAGAAGAGCCTAGCTTGATCATGCCAATGGCCCATCCGAATCCAGCATCCTGTTCTCACAGGGACCAAATGCCCCTAAGAGACTAGGAAGCTAGACAGACTGCCCCTGGACATGGATGTTCCTTAGGAGTGTAAGAAGAGCCTGATGGATCAAGCCACTGGCCTACTGAGTCCAGCATCCTTCCCTCACAGTGGCCAACTAGATGCTGAAATGGGAAACCCGCAAGCAAGCCCTGAGAGCAAGAGCACACACACACCACCCACAGTTTCCAGAAACTGGTATTCAGAAGCATGAATACCTTCAACTGTGGAGGCAGAACATAGCCATCATGGCTAAAAGCCATCAATAACTGTCTCTTCCTCCATGAATGTGTCCAATCCTGTTTTAAAGCCGTCCAAGTTGGTGGCTCTTACTACCTCCTGTGGGAAAGATTTCCATAGATTTGCTAAGAAGTGCTTTATTTTACCTGCCTTGGATCTTCCTATAGTTAGCTCCTCCCAGGGAGTAAGTGTACATTTCTTTACTTGCCTCAAAACAGAATAAAACTAGGTGGTGGCATGACTTGGGCCAAGGTCTGACTGGGTGGCCACCTGGCCTCCTTCCTCTCTGCTGCTGCTGCTGCTACGTTGGGTCCAGTGGTGGGCAAAGATGGGATGCCAAAGCTAGGAAGGACCGCCTCCTCCCTCCGCCTTGAAGTCCTTTCTAAACAGGGCTCCATTGGACTTCCCTGAGCATTGTTCCCTTTCCCCCTTCTTTATTGGAGCACCCAGGATTCTGCTTCTCTTTGCTATGCAAGAAACACCCTCTGAGAACCTGCACTACAACTTCCTCTCTAGCTCCTATCTAGAAGCTACATAAACAGTGCTATAAATAGAGGCAGCCAGCAGCCTTTCCCTGGAGTTGCGGGAGAAGAGGAAAGGTTTGGGATCCCCCACTCTCAGCATGCCAACAACAGAACTGCAAACTCAGGGATGTTTGCAGAAGGCTATTGCTGATGGATGATGCATAAAGAGATGTAAGGAACCCACAAGAGGCATTTTTAGTCCAATCCCCTGTAATGCAGGAGTTGCAAATAAGGAGAGGGAGGAGATTGTCCCAATGTGCATCACTTTACACTTACCTGCCTCAATTCAGATTTGCCTTTTCCCTCCTTTTCTTTTATCCCCTCTTACCAGAAACCTTCTCTACCTCACAGCTCATTACATCTTACCCAGGTATTTTATGGCTGAAATGTACCATCCTTGGCTACTTTGAAATTATGGCCATGAGCATATTTGATATTCTGTAAATGTTTTCAGAAGCATGAAGTATTTTTTAATTTAATTTAATTTTTAATTTAATTTAAAAAAATTAATTTTGCTGCTTGCAAAGATGTAAAGTTGGTTGTGTAATAAACAGCAACTGCTCACTCCAGAGGGGAAAGCAGAGGCAGAAATCCTACAGGCCATTTACAAGGGCAGGATGAATATTTAAAAAGATTATAAAATTGTAGAGTCGGCTTCCTTGCTTGGAGATGGAGCAGGCTCCACTTTGTTTCTTAGGGAGCTCAGACAGAGTAGCATGCAGGTCTTAGCCCTTTTCAGGAACCAGCGCACACTGGCACAAAGGAGGCCCACAGTGCACACCAAAAATGCTGTTACAGCCAGATAGACCTTGTACGCATTGCGAGGGCAAAGCTGCCCAGCCTGTTCACCACTGATTTGAGTTGTGAAGCTTTCCTCCCCGTTGCGGTAATAACACAGCGTCTCACCCAAGTCCAGCACGGAAGTGCCCAGGATTTGCAGCCACTTTCGCTCGCAGCAGCTGAAGGGGTTTCCAGCCACAGACAAAGCCCGGAGGCTCCTTCTTAGCTGCTTTGCTGCGGCTTCTTCTATGCTCTCCAGCTGGTTTCCTTGGATGTCCAGCTTCTCCAGCGGGGAGCAAAGCAAGCTGGGAGGGATGGCACTCAGGTCATTCCCTGACATGTCCAGGATGCTCAGGGAAACCAGGCAAGGGAAATTCAGGCTGGCGGTCTTCATTCGGTTCCCTCTCAAAGAGAGCTCCTGCAAAGATGCTTCCAGACCCTCCAAAGCATAACTGGGCAGGACCAGGCCCTGGTTCTCTGACAGATCCAGGGAGGCCAAGGGCGTTCGGTGGAAGAGGCATTCATGCACCAGCCCGAGGTTGTTCCCGCGTAAGCTGAGGTGCCTGAGCTGTGGAAGGCAGTGGAAGGCAGTACAGTCCTCTGTTTTGGCATGGAGGCACTCTCCCTTGGAGGAGTTCCTTGCTCGACAGAGCTGGATGCGGTTGAGGCCAAGGTCCATCACCTCCAGGTCAGGAAGCAGGTCGAAAAAATGTGGCGGCAAGTGGCTGATGGAGTTCCCTTGGAGGTCCAGCATCCGTAGAGACAGTGAGGTTTGTTTTTGCCATGCCCTGTCGGCAATGGGACCTGGTGAACTGTGATTCGTGGGCAGCTCCACGGCAATGTCACTGAGGCAATTCCTCGCCAGGCTTAGAGTCCGAAGGGAAGTCAAACCACGAAGAAGCGCAACTGGGAATGATCCCAGGCGGTTGCTGCTGAGATTCAGGTCCATCAGTTTTGCAAAGCTCTGAGAGACATTCTGAGGCGTGACGTTCTGGCTCTTGTTAGCCCCTGTGGTGATGGCGTTGTGGGAGAGGTTGAGGTACCGAAGCTGGTTCCTCCTGGGGAGCAGCGGGAGGGCATTCAGCCGGTTGTGGCTCAGGTCCAAGGCATGGAGGCGGCAAGGGGCCTCTTCTCCTGCCCCGTCAAAGGACTCCAGTGCATTGTAGCTAAGGTTCAGGACTCGCAGCTGGGCTAGGCCGAAGCCTGTGATGCAGTGGAGGGAATTCATGGACAAGTCGAGGACCTCCAGGGCCCTGAGCTGGGACAAGGCCCCTTCCTCGATCTGAACAAGGGAGTTGCGCCTCAAGTGCAGTTCCCTCAGCCTGGGCACCCCCTGGAAGATGCCATTTGCCAGACAGGTCAAGTGGTTCTCCGACAGGTCTAGCCACTCCAGAGCTGGGAGGTGGTGGAGGTATGAGGCCACCATCTGGTTGTCTAAGCCGTTGGCTGAGACATCAAGGGCTGCCAGGCTCACCAATGACAGGAAGGCGTTTCCATTGGAGAAATGGTCTTGGTGGAGTTGGTTCCCGGCCAGAATCAGGGAGCGAAGATGGGCAAGGTGCCCCAGGGCTCCCCCGGACAGTGAGCGCAGGTGGTTGTATGACAGGTCCAGCTGCTCCAGCTGTTCCAAAGCAGATGTGTCATGGTCTGTCAGGTTTGAGATGGCATTGTGGGAGAGGTCAATCCGCTTGATTTCATAGCTGAGTCCTTGTGGAAACGTGGTCAAGCCTCTGCCTCTGCAAGAGACAGAAATCCAGGTCTGGAGAGAGGAGGAGTAAGAAAAAGGAAGTCAGACAAACATGAGAACATAAGAATAGCCCTGCTGGATCAGGCCAGTGATCCATCTAGTCCAGCATCCTGTTTTCACAGTGGTCAAATACCTCTGGACCTGGAAGTTCCAGAAGAGCATCAGAAGAGTCTGCTGAATCAGGCCAACGGTCCAACTAGTGCACCATCCTGTAGTTACAAGGACCAATCAGATGTCCCAAAGGCAAACCAGTAAGCAGAACCCAAGCACAAGAGCTCCTTCATTCATTCATTCATTTCATTTTTATGCCCCTTTTCCACCCCCCAAAAAATCAAACTCAAAGTGACTTATAACAAAGCTAATAGGAAAGTGCTTCAAAATCAAACAGTGCAAAGAGCATTTTCATAATAACATAGAAAAACCACACAATAACAAATATAATAACACATAAAAAGCAACATTTCAGTCTTCTCCCTTCCTCTGGTTTCTAGCAACTGATGTTCAGATGCACTGATGCCTCTGATTGTAGAAGCAGAGCATAGCCATCAGGGCTAGTAGCCAATGTTATAAGAATTCTAAGGTCTCGAATATAGAATAAATGTTCATAAATGCACAAGGTAAACAAACATACATAAGTATATAAACCACATGTCTGAAATAGTACAGGAGAGCAATCCTTGAAGTCATTTGGACTCTCCCAAAGGGACCTCAAATATGTCTCTGTAGTAGGAGGATGGGGAAAACCTTCCAATTGTCTTTTCACTTGCAAATCCCATTAACAAAACTGTCTGGAATCTATGGGGCTTACCCCCTTCCTGCAAATCCAGTCTGGCAAGTTTCTGTTAAGCTGAGCAAACTGTCAATAGGTGTAAACTAGTAAATAAGAGATTTAGGAACTAATCTATTTACCATTTCAAAGGAATGGCCCTGCTACTAGGACAATGTAATTCCCACTGCAGATAAATATTTGAGGTCCCTTTGGGAGAGTCAAAATGGCTTCTTTTAATCAAATTCATAGTTTTATTACAAAAGAACATAAAAACGCAAACTCTGAGACCCAATTTATAAATTTATTAAACACAATGGGTGGAGGAAGATTAGTTTCTAAATTGTATTCCATATTGCTTAATTTAACTTACAGATCTATGGAACCCCGTAAAAAGATACGGGAGCTGGATATCGGCACAAAAATTATTCCCTGAGGATTGGAATAAAATCTGTTTCCAGCTTTCTTAGGGAAAGCTCAATGAAATTGATTCACAGATGGCATCATACCCCTTTGTAAATGTAAAAAATAATAATGGTGTTTTTTTGTTTTAAATTATTCTTTATTGAGATTCATTATTTATACAGTTAATCCATACATTTTCCAAAATATGTTTTCTTCCATATCAGCTAATTGTCAGACGGGTTGCAATAAACTCAGTACATATTGATGGCAAAATCTAATTTGGTACAATATTTTTGGGATTTAATTTTGACAGAGGTGAAAGCTCACCCTTGAGAAGGCTGTGTGTCCAATAGGTTAGAGCAAGCCTAGGGAACCCGTGACTACAAATCCCATCAGTCTTGACCATTGGCCATGCTGGCTGAAGTCCAAGGACATCTGGAGGGCCATAGATGTCCCCAGCCCTCTTGAAAGATTCTAATATATACAGACCCAACCTCTGTATAAAAAAACTCCAATGAGTGGTTGGACTGAATGACTGTCCCCTTCCAACTCTACAATTCTGTGATTCTAGGTGCCTTACCTTCCAGCAGGGCAGAAGTTTGGGGGTCTCCTTTTGGCGAGGCCATGCTCTCAGAAAAACAGGCAGCAGCACCCAAAACAGGAGGTGTACCTGGAGGAAGCCCATTGCAGCTTCTAAAAGCCACCCTGCAGTGCCTCTTCCACTGTCCCAAAGGAAGGAGGTTTGGTGTATAAATAGACCTGGGTGTCTGCAGGGAGATGATAAGGGCTGTGCATTTCTCAGGACCACAGAAGCCACAGACTAGGCACTGGGAGGCTTAATGGGGAGTGGGGGAAGAGTCCAGAAGGGAAAGCAAAACCAAGGAGGAACCTCAAAGGACCTGGGAGAGCCTCTTAGCCCCAAAGGGAAATCGGCTATTTGAGGGAAGGGAGCCCAAGGGATTTCTCAGGTAATCCCCCAGCTGGAAAACCCACTGGCTTCCAGGGGGGATTTTGCATCACTGGTAGAGCACCTAGAAGCACACAGAGGGATGGGAGTTCCTACCGATCCCAAAATCCAGCCTTTCTTTACATGTTGAGGCTCAGATGATTCCCTCAGGGCTGAATGTCCATCTGTGAAAATCATAGGATTTTAGGGTTGGAAGGAAGCTCTGAGGGCACCTAGCACAACCCCCTGCAATGCTGGAACCACAGCTAAACCATCCCTGACTGATGACCCACCAACCTCTGTATACTTCATCCTTCCTTTAACTTAATGGACCAGATCCTGACTGTTTTCAGGCTGGGGAGCAGAACCAGAGCCCATTTTGATGCATTTCAATGGCTATTTCTTTTAAAAGGTCCCTGGAATGCGTAAATATTCAGTGTAGTCTTACAACTTTCCAATTGTTGCATACTGAGGGCACAGTGGAAGAACCAGGGAAGGTGATAAACGTCCTGTGCAAGTGTCTAGAGTGGTGGTGGTGGCAGTCAACAGACTGAATCCTGACAATACAGAAGTACTTTGTCTGGGGACAGGGGGCAGGTGGGGGGCATATTCCTTGGTTCTGAATGGCGTAACTGTGCCCCTGAAGGACCAGGTGTGATACCTGGGGGTCATTTTGGACTCACAGCTGTCCATGGAGGTGCTGGCCAATTCTGTGTTCAGGGCAGCTGTTTACCAGCTCCATCTGGTACGCAGGCTGAGACCCTACCTGCCCACAGACTGTCTCCCCAGAGTGGTGCATGCTCTAGTTATCTCCCTCTTGGACTACTGCAATGCGCTCTACGTGGGGCTACCTTTGAAGGTGACCCGTAAACTACAACTGATCCAAAATGCAGCTGAGAGACTGGGAGTGGCTGCTGGGACCATGTAACATTGGTCCAAAGGATCTTCACTGGCTCTCAGTACATTTCCGAGCACAGTTCAAAGTGTTGGTGCTGACCTTTAAAGCCTTAAACGGCCTCGGCCCAGTATACCTGAAGAAGCATCTCCACCTCAGCTTGGACACTGAGGTCCTCCTCTGAGGGTCTTCTGCTTGTTCCCTCACTGCGAGAAGTGAAGTTACAGGGAACCAGGCAGAGGGCCTTCTCGGTAGTCGCAATCCATACACACTGCCCAGGCTTGCTCCCTGGAGAGCAGTTTGACTTCACCCCTGGAGGTGCACTCCATTGTCTCTCCAGACAGATGGACACCAACAACCTTAGGCTCCTTGAAAGAAAAAAAAAGAATGGAGTATAAATGCAAATACAAATACATAATCTCTACATTTCTAGGATCTTCACTTTCCAAGAGGGTGCCCCCACCCCGCTTCACTCCCCTCCCAGGTCACTTCAATCCACACCCCGCCTGGGCTGCGTTCCAATCCTTCTTACACTTTTCCCGGGAGCGCCACGCTCGTGGGAGGAAGCGGAGACGCACCCCATCTAGTGGGCCAAGGAAGAACTGCAGTAGCGTCGCCAAAGTGGCCCGACGGCAAAAGTTGCCTACGGCAAGGCTGGCGACCCTCCCAGTCGCCACCTGGGCCTGGTGACCGCCCATTGCGTCGGGGAGCAGCCCTTTTAAGAGGCATCTGCGCCCTTCCCCGGCCTTTCTTTCCGCCAGCCATGCGCTGCTCCTGGATGGGGCTTGCCCTGCTGCTTCCCAGCCTTGGCCTCTGCGCCGCCATCCAGTGGTTGTGAGTCCCGTTGGGGTGGGTGGGTAGGTGGGTTGGGGTGAGGGGGGTCCTGGCAGGGGTGCATCTTCTCTGTCCCCAAGCCCAGCGGGGGACGAAGGACTGCCTCACCAGCCGCTCTGCAGGGTTCAGGGAAGCCCTGACGACGACGCCAGCTCCCGGGGATTTCCCTCCACACCAGCCCGCCTTGCAAACACAGCCCAGGACCCAATGGGTCATCCAGTCCAAACCCTCTACCCCGCCCATCGCATGCCCGCAATGCGAGAATCACAGCTGAAATCGCCTTGGCAGATGGCCGTCCAACCTCTGCTTCAAAACCTCCAAGGAAGGGGAGAGGCCGCTGCACTCCGAGGCCATAGAAGCGCAGAATTGCAGAGATGGAAGGGAGTAGCCCAATCCAGCACAAGGCAGCAACCAGAGCTAAAGAACCCCTGGCAGATGGCACAGCCCCTCCAATGCCAGCCAGCCTTGCAGGATCAACACAAAGCCTCTCTGATGCCTCCTTTATGCCCCCCACCTAGGTTTCTAAAGGCGGCAGCGCCATCTGCAGGGAGCTTCCCTCGCCATCCTACCCCCAGGGACTGGGGAGGTTCCCTGACGCCACCCACAGATGGGTAGAGTGACCACTTGTGGGTCCGTTGCGGGCAGTGGAAACCAGGTGTCTTCTACAGGTGTCATGACAGCTCTCATTCTTTTTCTCTCCCACCCCCGCTTCAGGAGCCTGGCAGCCAATGGGACGCAAGTGGCCTGGGATAACCCCCAGGACTGCCGCCTTCTATCATCGGACGCCCTCGCCCGGCTATGCCGGAGGCACCTGGAGGCGATGCCCAGCCTGGTGGAAGCAGCACGCCAGACCAAGGCTGTCTGCCAACAGACCTTTGCCAGCTCCCGGTGGAACTGCTCGTCCGTCGAGGGGGCGCCTTACTTGGCCCCAGACCTACAGAGGGGTAATGATCAACCTTTGTTCCATCTTCATCCCTTCGTCCCTTTCTCTGAGGAAAGCCCCCATGGCTGGATCCAGCCTCCTTTGCCCAGGTGGGAACATGGGCCACTTAGACAGTTCCCCCTCCCCAGTTAGAATCATAGAATTGGTTGGAAGGGACCCCAGGGGTCATCTAATTCAACCCCCTTCAAGGTTCCATAAGAGCCCTACTGGATCAGGTCAAGGGCCACCTAGTCCCACATTCTGTTCTCATACTGACTGACCTGATGCCCATTATAGGAAGCCTACAACCTGAGCACAAGCGAAACTCTTCCCCTCCAGAAACAGGGGTTCAGAACCATTTCTGTGGTATCAGAACATAGCCATTGTGGCTAGCTGCCTTGATAGCCCTCTTCTCCCTGAATTTGACCAATCCTCTTTTAGAGCCATCCAGTTTAGTGGTCATTATTGCTTCCTGCTGCGGGTGGCGCTGTGGGTTAAACCACAGAGCCTAGGACTTGCCGATCAGAAGATCGGTGGTTCGAATCCCCGCGACGGGGTGAGCTCCCGTTGCTCGGTCCCAGCTCCTGCCAACCTAGCAGTTTGAAAGCACGTCAAAGTGCAAGTAGATAAATAGGTACTGCTCTGGCGGGAAGGTAAACGGCGTTTCCGTGCGCTGCTCTGGTTTGCCAGAAGCGGCTTGGTCATGCTGGCCACATGACCCGGAAGCTGTACGCCGGCTCCCTTGGCCAATAAAGCGAGATGAGGGCCACAACCCCAGAGTCGGTCACGACTGGACCTCATGGTCAGGGGTCCCCTTTACCTTTACCTTACTGTTTCCTGCAGGAGTGAGTTCCATAGTTTTAACTAATATGTCCTTCCTTTTATCTGTCCTCAATCATGCACCACTTCAGCTTCATTGGAGGTCCACAAGTTTGAGAGAGGGAGGAAAACATTCCTTTGTCCACTTCCTCCATGTCATGCCTAATTTTTAAAACTTCTACTACATCTCCTCTTTGGTAGCCTTTGCTGCCTCCTAGCAATTTAATTAAGATAATAAATAATACTTGCCTCTTTCCACTTTCTCCATGCTGTGCATTGCTTTATAAAACAAATTTCATTGACTCTTTTTCTTGCAGGCACCAGGGAGTCCGCCTTTGTTTACGCCCTGGCATCTTCTGCCGCCAGCCACTCCATTGCCCGGGCCTGCGCTTCTGGGCAGGTCCCTTTCTGCTTCTGTGGCTCCACTCCTTCTGAGGCACCCCACCCCAGCTTTCAGTGGGGTGGCTGTGGGGACAATCTCCCCTTCGGACTCCAGCTGGGCTCTGCCTTTGTTGACGGCCCCATGAAGTTCAGCAAGGCGGGGACGCAGATCTCCAGGGTCCTAAACCTCCATAACAATGCAGTGGGCCGGCAGGTGAGTAGGGTCATTCCTGCACTGCAGGGGATTGGGCTAGATGACCCCCGGGTCCCTGATTTTATTATCTGGTACTGGAGAATCCAGGTGAGAGAATTGTGGGTGCAGGAGGTTCAATTCTACCCACTCGGGTGCCTGACAGTCTCTTTATCTTTCCTCCTCCTCCCCTCCCAGGTCCTGTCAGATTCCCTAGAGACTATGTGCAAGTGCCATGGGGTGTCTGGATCTTGCACTGTCAAGACCTGCTGGAAAGGCTTGCGGGATTTAGCCACTATTGGCTCAGAGCTCAAATCCAAGTACCTGGAGGCCACGCAGGTGATGCCTTGGCTTGTGGGCAGCAGAAGGCAGCTGGCACCCAGAGGAGGCAGACTCCGGCCCCTGAAGGCAGATGAACTGGCCTACCTTGTACATTCCCCCACTTACTGTCTGAAGAACCCCAAGCTGGGCTCCTTGGGGACTCAGGATAGGTGAGTAAATCCTTGCATGATACATACAGAAGCATTGATTCCCGAACCCAGAACCTCTGTCATCCCACTGCCAGCACAGGGGGTTGGATTAGTTGGAGATCCCTTTCATCTCTACGATTCTTTGATTTTGCTTTGTTTTTGTTGGGCTGTCGGTCAAATCTGACAGGGCTTTTCTCATGTTCTTATGGAACCAATGGGCCCAGAGGCAGTCAGCCTAGATTCCTAGGCTCTTAGGGGTGTTTGGCTACTGTGAAAAGAGAATGTTGGGCGGGATTAGTCCCTTTTGGCCTGATCCGGCAGCCAGGCTCTCTTCTCAGATTCTTATGTTCTCTCACCCCCCAACAGGCCTTGCAACAAGACTTCAGCAGGCAGTGGCGGGTGCCGCCTCCTCTGCTGCGGCCGGGGCTACAACACATATGCAGAGAGGGTGGAGGAGAAGTGCCGCTGCAGGTACCATTGGTGCTGTTACGTGACCTGCAAGAAGTGCCAGCAGGTGGTTGAAAAACACGTCTGCAAGTGACCAGAGGCTGGGCCCCCGAGTTAAGCTATACCCCTTTCCACCGAGAGGGTTCATATACAGAGAGAGAAACAGATATATTTATATATATAATTTTATATATAATTATATATATTTTAAAAATAGTAATTTAATTTTAATTTTTTTTCAAATTTCTTTTAGATTTAAAATCACAGTTACCGAAACTTTTTATAAACGGCAGTATTTTATTTACTTTTTTCAGCAATAGCATCTAATTTTATTTCTTTTCATAATTTTTTTTTAATTCATTTTCATTTTTCAACTGTTTAACATGGTGGCATTGAGATATACCTTATTACAGCATATGACACGTGACAATTACATAAAAATAAAAGTAGAACTACAACCAACACTCAGATAAATGTTTCTGATTATATTATCAAAGTTGTGTCAAAGTATATATACCAAAATTATTACAGTTGTTACAGAAATAATATCTAATTTTAAGAATGCTGTGGCTCATCACTCTTTTAAGTAATGAAGTATCAGCATTTATCAAACAATGAGATTCTGATAAGGTTCAAAACAAAACAATTGACTTTAGGTCAAGCTTGTGACCCCCAATATAACAGCTTTGATGCTCCAAAAATATTTTCACTATGTGTTCATCTTGTCTTGTGAGCTCATAATATTAACAATACTAGCTTGACCAATCTTCTGTCCATTTAAGCCCGTTTCAAAATCTTTATTTGCTCTTCTGGAGTAATGCAGAGAACTCCAGATGAACAAATATCTAGCCATTTATTACCATTTTAAACAACCCAAAAGTGCAGGAGCAAGCAAAGCAAACAATAAATAATAATTTATCTTTTTTAAAAATGGCCTTTATTACCACTGTTAACAGCCCTCTGCGTTGCAGGGGGTTGGACTAGATGGCCCTTGGAGTCCCTTCCCACCCTACAATGCGATGAATTTTCAGAGGCTTTTCAACAGAGGTCGGCTGTCAGTCAGTCAGGGATTCCTTTTGCTGCCATTTCCGCATTTCAGGGGGAGAATTGGACTAGGTGACCATTGGGGTCCCTTCCAACTCTACAATTCTCTGAATTTGGGCAGTCAAGAGGAGGTTCTTGATCAGATCTGACTCATTTATCATCTGCAAGCTTCTTACAAACAATTAGCCGAAGCAGACTGGGTTTGCCAAGGCTAAAATCTCACCAGACTGACCTTCTCTCTTGTCAGTCAGCTTACTGGTTTAGGAGATTTCGCTGGTGCGATTTGTCAAATGTATCTTTCAATCAGAAAACTGATTTTTAAAAAACGGCTTACAAGTTTTTCCACATCTTTCAGAATTCCAGAACTGTAGAGTTGGAAGGGACCCCCAAGGGTCATCAAGTCCAACTCCCTTGGCTTAGATGAAGGTGCATCCTCATCAACTGGCAGAGGGCACAGCTGGCACCTGGAAAAAATGCATCATTTTCAAGAAAGAATGCATTTTAACTTCTGCTGTTTTCTCCAAGTTTGATATGTTAAGTTTTGGGCAGTTTTAATACATTTTTCTTAATAACAACAACAACAACTTTTTAAGGGATATAAAATTGGCTCGATTTGTTTTAGATTTGGGGGTATATTAAAGCCTAAATACCATGTGGGCAAATAGACATCAAATTCCCACTTGGCCATGGAGCCTACTGGGTGACCTTTGGCCAATTGCTGCCTCTCAATATGTCCTACATCACAGGGTTGCTGTGAGGGTTAATTGAGATTATGGTGGGGATGCAGATGCAGCCAAGAACACCAGCAACTTAATATTTTCATTTCTATCTTTCTAAACTCCTAAAATCCAATAAAATATAAAAATAATAAAAAATGATTAATACCAATAACAGCAGCAACAATGAATAATAAAAATGAACAACAGCACTGTGAACAAGCACAGTGATTAATACCGTAATAATGTCCATCATTATTGTTATAGAAAAATTAATGAGATATCACTTTTAACAGTAAAACCTGAGCTGAAAAAGAACGGAGGGCAATACAGGAGCCATGCTTAACCCCAAGCCAACCTCAAGACTCCTCCCGTCACATAGAAGGAAATTCTTCCTGAGCCTCCCCTCTGTGAAACTGGTTTAACAAGTATTGATAACTGTCCAAGCAGACTTGTCAAAGGAGCAGATATCTATCTGCATGAATGAAACAGGTCATTGATAACAGATTCTGGAGTCAAGGTATTCCCCATTTCAAAAGGATCTCTCAGACAGACCAGGAAGGGCAATTATCAGGTATTGTTGGTCATCTTGATTGGCAGACTTGCAAATATGTTGGAGAAACATGAACCCTGAGCATGATCGGATTTACATGGACAACCCGTGTTGCGATGCATCTGTGGCGTTTTTGGAGTGGTCTTTCTGTGACAGAGGAAGGTACCACCCAAGGGTTAAACAATTGTAACATGCTTTTGTTCTGGATTCCCTCACCTTCTTGCAAGGGCTGGGGGGTGTGTGCCTCTGTTGCAACAGGTCAGTAAAGATCAAACGCTGGCCTTGCTTTCTTTTGTTGTCTCATTGTGTTATCATTTCCTTGATGGGGGGCAGTAAAAGCGTAACCCCAATTTCCCCCATAACATCGTCATCAATAATGATAAGTAATGTAATGATGATGAACCGGGAGCGGAACAAGTGCCAGGACCCCGCCCCCCAGCCCCCCTTTCTCTGGAACCCTCCTATCAGCTGACACAACAGCCCTGCAGGGTAGTCCCTACCCTCTCCCACCCCGCCATTGGCTCCTCCGCTTGCTGAGGGGAAGGCGGGGCCAGCAAAGCGAGGAGGCGGCGCCGCTCCGGGGGGCGGGGAAATAGCCCCAAACCAAGATGGCGCCGGCTGTCACTTCTGCTGCCCTCTTTCAGCATGGCGCCGCCGTCTTCAGCGGTACGGTGTCGCCACTTCCGCCCGAACCCTCTCTTCCTCCTTCCGCCGGTGGAACCCGTAGGCGTCACGGCGCCCACTCTGCAGGCCCTCGTTAAAGATGGCGGCACCTCCTTCAGCCGCAAGACGGTACCACTTCCGTCCGCTCCTTTCCCTCCACATCCGCCTCTCCCATGATGGCGGCGAGCACAACTACGGAGGAGCCGCTTCGGCTGTCGGAGCTGCTGGAGTCCGGCTGGCGACTGCTGGAGGAGGTGGAGGATGGCAGCGCCGCGGAACCTTCGTCGGGGGCGCCCGCTGTGCAGCGGAAGGTGCAGCGCGGGATCGGCCTCCTGGAACGCGCCGCCAGCGCCGTCGCCGAGCTCCAGCTCTTCAGGTGCCGTAGAGCATGTGCAGAGGGCGCCACATGTATACCCCATGGGGGGGGGCTGTCCATGGCTCACAGTCTACCTCGGGATGGCAGCGCCTGCCCGATGACCTTTAGAAACCGGCAGTGCTGCAGTCCAATCTTCAGCTTGTGGCTCCAGAGGCACTCTGCATCTGCCCAGAGGCACCTTCAGCTCCTCGCCGCCACAAGCTTTTGCTTGGGCTGGATCTCACCCCTTCACAATAGAAGAGGGAGGTGCCCACCCCCACCATGCATTCTCTGCTCAGATCCTGACATTTCATAGGCAGTTTTTCCCAATTTATGGAATAAAAGCTGTTTGATTTGGTTCTTCTATTGCTTTTCCCTGTTTTTAAAATAGTTCAGCAAATAGTGCATGAGATTCTTAGCATTGGGCAAAAGACTCCTATGTTGCCCTGGGTTGGACAAGTTGACCCTCATGGTCCCTTCCAACTCTACAGTTATATAATTCTAAGAGCGTGGTTGCTGGATCAGGCCAATCGCCCATCTAGTTCTGCATCTTGTTCTCACAGTGGCCCACAGGGGCAAAACTAGGATTTATTTTGCCCAGGTCAAAGACCCAGTTTGGCACCCCCACACGCATTTGTGTACACACACACAGAGGCTGGGAGCCTCAATGGCCGCCCAGCGTAGGCTTCACTGAGGGCTACCTAAGCCATTGTGACTATTAGCCATTCATAGCCCTCTCCTCTTCCATGAACCTGTCCTCTTGTAAAGCCATCTGTGTTCCGCTGTGGTAGGGAACTCCACAAATTAGCTATGTGCTGTGTGAAGAAGGACTTTGAAAAAATTGTCTATGCATTCTAGTGTTATGAGAGAAGTGAAGTTACAGGGAACCAGACAGAGGGCCTTCTCGGTAGTGGCGCCCACCCTGTGGAACACCCTCCTTTCAGATGTGAAGGAAATAAGCAGCTATCCTATCTTTAAAATACATCCGAAGGCAGCCCTGTTTAGTGAAGTTTTTAATATTTAATGCTGTACTGTTTTTAACACTTGATTGGGAGCCGCCCAGAGTGGCTGGGGAAACTCAGCCAGATGGGTGGGGTATAAATAATAAATTATTATTATTATTATTATTATTATTATTATTAGAGAGGGAGGGAAACTGGTGGTGGACTCCCCTCCATTGGAGGTTTTTTCTGCAGAGCTTGGCCAGATTCTCTAGCTCTAATTCCAGCATTGCAGCGGGGCTGGACTAGATGGCCCTTGGGGCATCTCTTCCAACTCTATGATTTTTACTCTGCTCTCTCCTTTCAGCCACAACGAAGAGCTGGAGGAGATCTCCTCAGCTGATCTGAAGTTCATGCTGGTCCCTGCTCTGTTGGCGGCCCTCATCTTGAAGCAGGTCAACCCCAGCAAGCGCCTGGAGCATGTACAGAGGGCCCGTGCTGGCTTCATGGACTTCCTGAAGGTCTGCAAAGACTATGGGATTGGGCGCTTCCAACTCCCACGGGAGGTGGAGGTGGAGAGCGGGGATGAAAGTGAGTCCTCCGGTAGCAACATCAACTCCGTTCTGGGGACTGATCAGCAGACGGCTATCCTTGCCATGGCATCCAACAGGCAGGCGAAGATCGAAAGGTGAGTGGGGAGGCCTTCCTGGATAATGGGTGGCAAATGTCAGTTTCATTTTGATTTTAAATATTTTCAGTTACTATGATACCTTTTTGGTAATATTTAAATTCTAGTATGTTTCAGAATAAACAATAATTAAATTAAGCCAGAAATAAAACAATAATTTCATTGGAAAAACCATTATTATAAAATAATACAGTGGGTTGAATACCTAAACTTAAGACAGCAGTTTAGAAAACAAGCTCAAAGAAGCTGTTTTGTAAAACAGGGAAAGCAAAGTGCTCAAATTTAAAATAGACAGGAACATAAATGTTTTTCAAAGCCTTATCCCTTGAATCCTGGAAGACACCTCAGGGATCATCCGGTCCAGCCCCCAGCAAAGCAGGAATCCTTGACAAATGCCTATCCAACCTATCTTTAGAGTTAGAAGGGACCCCTGAGAGTCATCTAGGCCAACCCCTCCATGTCCTTTCCCCAAACAGATATAAGCAGAAGAAGGAGCTCGAGAACCAGCTGGCCACCCTGAAGCCCTTCATCGACGGTGGCCAGGCAGAGGAGGAGCAGATCCGGGAGTTCTACTTGCTCCAGATCAAGAAGTGGATTAGCACAAGCCTGGAGGAAATCGAGAGCATTGATCAGGAAGTCGCTATCCTCATTCGGCGGGATGCCTTGAAGCAGGTAGGGTGGTGGGACATGGGGAGGGGACCGCCCTCTCTGCCTTTGTGGGGCCTGAAAGCACTTCAGGCTTTGCAGTGGGTTGGACTAGATGCCCCTTGGGATCTGTTCCTGCTCTTCAATTATATGGTTCTACAATGGGGAGATAGCATCTGAGTGGTCCCCTGTGGTTGTGGTGACCCCTTACATGTGAAAAACAGGGGAGCCCTCTATCAGAATGCCACTCCCCACCCCACAGAGGTGCTACAGAGGCCCTGGAGCAGCCTGGGCTCCCCAGATGTCCTTTGACCACACCCATGAAGACATAAGAAGAGCCCTGCTGGATCAGGCCAGGGGCCCATCTTGCCCAGCATCCCATCACAGCGGCCACCCAGATGTCTGCTACGGGAAGCCTGCAAGCAGGACACACACACAAGAGAAGAAGAACCTGGATCAGGCCAATGGCCCATCTAGTCCAGCCTCCTCTTCTCACAGGGGCCAACTAGGTGCCCCAAAGGGAACCCATGCAAACAGACTCAGAGCACAAGAGTAGCATTGCAGCCTCTGAATGTGCAGGCAGGGCAGAGCCATTGTGGCTCTTAGCCATCGACAGCCCTCTCCTCCGTGAATTTCCCTAATCCTGTTCTAAAGATTGGTGGCCATCGCTGCCTCCTATGGAAGCGAGTTCCACAGTTTAACTTTGCGCTGAATACCAGTTGCTGGAAGCTGCAGGAGGGGAGAGTTCTGTAATGCTTGTGTCCTGCTTGCCGGCTTCCCTTTGGCACCTGGTTGGCTGGGTGAGATGGCCAGCTCCTCTTACAGGGCCCTGTGTACAGAACAGCCCCCTCTTCCAGATCCGGCCAGAGGCAGGGCAGGACAGATAGTTGAATGTTGCAGCTTTGGTAAATTGTATGTAGGAACATAGGAAGCTGCCTTATACTGAGTCAGACCCTTGCTCCATTCAACTCAGTACCACCAACACTGACTGGCAGCAGTGGCTTCCAGCCCTACCTGCAGATGGCGATGGGACTGAACCCAGGACCTTTTGCTTGCAAGGCAAATTCTCCACCACTGACCTATGGTCCTTCCCCACTTGGGAGAATCTGAGGTGACCTGTGGGCAGCAGAATCCGTCACCTGTCACTGGGTGGGTGTCATGGGGTGGGGCCCTTCAGTTGGCTGTGGAGGGTAGAATGTGTCTTTTGGATTGTGTGCTGAAATGTGTTTTTTATCTTCTCTAGGGTACAGGGACGCAGCCTCCACGCCCGCTTGGGCCTCCGTTGAAGCCCTTCATCCTGACCCGGGATACTGCCCAGGCAAAGTATGGGTGCTCTGCTCTTTTCAGGGGGGGCATTCGGGGGGGCTGGCTCCTTCCAGGTGTGTGATGCTGGTTACGATTCCTGCATCGCAGGGGGTTGGACTGGATGACACTTGGGGCCCCCTCCAGCTCTACGATTCTGCAGAGGTGGGGAACCTATGAGGATGGTCCGTTCTCAGAGGCTGATGGACCCAATGGGTTTCCAGATGGCTCTGGGGGGTTTTTCCAGCTAACCTCTAGATTAGATTGATGCAATGCATTCTACATAGGGCTGCCTCTGAAGACAGTTCAGAAACTTCAACTGGTGCAGAACTTGGCGGCCAGGTTGCTCACCAGGGCAAGACGATTTGAGCATAATGCACCGATCCTGGCCTGATTGCACTGGCTGCCCATTAGCGTCCGGGCCCAATTCAAAGTGCTGGTTTTGACTTATAAAGCCTTAAATGCCTTGGGACCACAGTACTTCAAGGACCATCTCTCTCCAGAGGAACCTACTTGCACCCTCCAGTCACCATTTGAGGCCCTTCTTTGTGTGCCTCATGTGGCAACATGAAAACAGGCCTTTTCTACAGTGGCTCCCCGTTTGTGGAGGTTCGCCTGGTGTCTTCATTATATACCTTTAAGTGCTAGGTGACATCCAATGCCCTTTTAAATGTGTTGTTGTGGTGGGGGGTTGGTTTGCTTTTGTTATTGTTTTAATTATGTATTTTGTGTTTGTTTATATTGTAATTTTATGTATGTTTGTGTTGTGAACCACTCTGCACTCTACAGATGAAGGGCGGTATACAAATTTTAATAATAATAAACATAATAATAAACAACTGATTCTATGAATAATGGTGATGATGTTGGCAATAACAAAAACAACCACAATCTTCCTTCACTGAATATTTTTAAGTGAAACTTGGATGACTGCCTTTCATGTATTCTTGAACTGTGATTCATGCATTGACTCTCAGGGACACCTTCCAACTCTACAGTTCTGTGATTCTGTAAGTGACAAATATGTATCCAGGAGTACCCTGTAGCTCTACACTTGTTCCTTCAGAGTACCATCCTAGACCTGTCTCCCAAACATGGGAACCCCGCAGCCGAAGAGACTCCCATCTTGCTAGGACTAGAGCACAGCTCTGCTCCACCACTGTGCTGAATGGTTAAATGATAAAAATGTTCATTCCTTTCTTACAGGGTGTTTGGCGCTGGCTACCCAAGCCTGGCGACAATGACAGTGGATGACTGGTATGAGCAGCATCGAAAGCAAGGAGCCCTTCCTGATCAGGGCATATCACAAGCAGCCTCAGGTATTTATCTGGGTCAGGGGTGTTGGGGATGGATGCATCTTGTAATGGTGAGAGACTAGGGCCCGGGAGAGACAGGGTTCAAATCCCCACTTGGCTGTGAAGCTCCCTGGGTGTGACCGTGGGGACCAGTCACTGCTTCTCAGTATCACCTACCTCGCAGGGTTGTTGTGGGGATGAAATGCAGATGGAGAGAGAACTGTGTATGCCACCTTGAGATCCTGGAAGAACAGAGGTGGGACAGAATTGCGATAAATAAGTTGTGTCTATGAGCAGCATAGACTGGGAATCTCCCACTCTGAATAGCTTTGTTTTATTTGTTTATTGATTGATTGATTGATTGATTGATTCGATTTGATAAAAATATAAGATAAAAGCACATATAAATAGTTACAACAGAAACAACAAAATAATGCCCCCCCTTCCCACAAACACATTTAAAAGGCTGAAGAACATTAATTAGCCAAAGCCCTGATTAATGTCTCCCGCACAATGCCTTCCAGCAGCAGCAGATAACAGTAGGCTGAGGATTTAGAATAGTAGAATTGGAAGGAACTCCATGGGGTCCTCTAGTCCAACCCCCTGCGATACAGGAAAGAATCCCTGCGCACCCACCCTCTGTTTAAAATCCTACAGTGTAAGAGAACTGTTGTGGTTGTTCATGGAATCACAGAACTGTTGGGTTGAAAAGAACCCAGAACGGTAATATAGCCCAACACCCTGCAATACAGGAATCATAGTGCATTCAGAGTTTTCCTCGCTACTGTGCTCTCAGTCTGGCTTTTCCCTTTTTCGGTCCTGCAGCAGCTGCAGAAAAGCAGCAGGAAGAAGAGAAGAAAGCGGAGGAGAAGGATGACGATGAAGCTTTGCGCAAAGCCCGGGAGTGGGATGAGTGGAAGGAACTTCACCCCAGGGGCTACGGCAACCGCAAGAACATGGGCTGATCAAGTGCCTCCTCGAGAGGAGGAGCCTGTGACCCGAGTGCCCTCCACAAGAACCAGAGGATTGAGCCCCCCACCCTGCGGACCCCTCTCTCTCCAGAGGAGAAGGTTTTCAAAAAGAGAAGGGGTTTTTTTGTTGGGGGGGCTTGTGTCAGGTTCCCCTGGCCAGGAATCTGGAAGTAGTGAAAGCATCTTCCCCCAGATGGACGATCCCTATGGAGAAGTTGGTTATCCCTGTTTCCTAAAGGAGTCCTCAGCAAGCTGAGTGGATAAGCCTTATGGAGTTAACTCGTAGTTGCTGTAACTTATTCTTTCTGTATTTAAATAAAGTAACATGAAATGCCTTCCTCAGTTTATCACTTAAGCGGGGGGGGGGGGGGTTCTTGAAGTGAATCAATCAATCAATCAAACAAACAAACAAACAAACAAACAAACAAACAGATACAATAAAAATAAGAGAAAGGCAAAAGAGCAGAATGGTATATATAGGAGAGACTTAATTGCAGGAGGTTGGACTAGCTGGCTTTTGGGGATACCTACCAATTGACTCTGTAACCAGTTAAAGAGTGTTGAAGTTCACACAGTTCTCTTGCCTGGTTGCTGGAAGGAGGATTCAGATTAATTGTTCCCGATCTCCATGAGACCTCATTGAGCTTTGGGCATACAGCTGTTGTTTAGTCAGAAAGCTCCAGCCCTCTGGTGTTTGATAAGAACATGACAATATTAGAAGAACCTGCAGAATCAGGTGAGTTTAAGCTTAAGGAGCTGCTGGGTGAGATCCCATGGTCAGAAATACTCAAAGAGAAGTGAGTCCAAGATGGAGAGAAGTTTCCTAAAGGTGAAATATTGGCAGCCCAAAGGCAGACAATTCCAACAAGAAAGAAAAGTGGGAGGCATCTAAGGAGACTGGTGTGGCTGCATAAGGAGATTACAGATGCACTGAGATTTAGGAAGGGCATATATAAGAAATGGAAGAATGGGGAACTCATGAAGAGTAGTTTTAGGGAGAGAGTCAGGCAGGGCAAAGCTCAGGATGAACTCAGGCTTACAAGAGAGGTTAAAAATAATAAAAGTTTCTTTGGTTATGTTTGAAACGAGGAAGAACAAGCAAGTAGTAGGTCATCTGTGTGGAGAAGGCGGAGAAATGCTACCGGGTGACAGAGAAGGTGGAATTGCTCAAACCCTATTTTGCCTCTGCCTTTCTCCAAAAGGCAAGCAATGCCCAACCTGGTGATAACAGAATAAATGATGTAAGGAGGGAGCTATAGCCCAAGATGGGGATAGAGGTGATAAGGAAACACCTAACCACATTAAATGTATTCAAATCTCCAGGGCCTGATGAGTTAGGGGGTACTAAAGGAGCTTGCAGATGTAATTGCAGAGCCTCTGTCTATAACCTTCAAGAATTCTTGGAGAACTGGTGAGGTCCCTGCAGACTGGAGGCGGGCAAATGACCCCTTCTTCAAAAAGGGGGGTGGGGAGAAGGACCAAGTAACTACTGACTGGTGAGCTTGACATTGATACCAGGAAAGGTTCTAGAACAGATAATTAAAACAATCAGTTTGTGAAAAGGATGCTGTGATTCCTAAGACCCAGCATGGGTTTTTCAGAAACAAGTCATAGCAGACATATCTCATTTCTTGTTTCGATAAGAGTTACAAGCTTGGTGTGGGCGTGGGTGGCGCTGTGGTCTAAACCACAGAGCCTAGGGGTTGCCGATCAGAAGGTCGGTTCGAATCCCAGCGATGGGGTGAGCTCCTGCCCACCTACCAGTTTGAAAGCACGTCAAGTGCAAGTAGGTACTGCTCCGGTGGGACGGTAAATGGCGTTTCCGTGCGCTGCTCTGGTTCGCCAGAAGCGGCTTAGTCATGCTGGCCACATGACCCGGAAGCTGTGTGGACAAACGCCGGCTCTCTCAGCCAGTAAAGCGAGATGAGTGCCGCAACCTCAGAGTCATCCACGTCAGGACACAACGGTCAGGGGTACCTTTACGTTTACAAGCTTGGTGTATCGGGAATGCTGTGGATGTAGTGCATTTTTATTTCAGTAAGACTTTTGACAAAGTCCCCCAAGATATTCTTGCAGAGACGCTGGCAAAACGTGGGCTAGATGAGGTAACTTTTAGGTGGATTTGTAGCTGGTTGACTGACTGAGGCCAAAGAGTGCTCACTAATGGTTCCTCATCACCTGGAAGAAAGGGACAAGTGGGGTGCCACCACAGGGATCTGTCCTGGGCCCGTAGTAGTTCAATGTCTTTATAAACAACTTGGATGAAGGAATTGAAGGATGCTCATCCAGTTGTGCAGACACAAGAACCCTCTCCCCTGCTGCAGTTTCCAGCAACTGGTATTCAAGAGGCATTGCTGCTTCTGACTGGGGGGGGCAGAGCATAACCCTCCCCTGGATTTGTCCAATCCTCTTTAAAAACCATCCAAGTTGGTGGTCATCCCTGCCTCCTTTTCGGTAGGTTGGTTGGCATCTGTCTGTCTTGAGAGACAATGGAAAAGTGCACCTTTGAGGGTGAAGTCAAACTGTCAGAAGCTTTCTTGTCATCTGGGTAGCCCAGAACCTCCATTCACACTGTCCAGGCTTGTGCCCCAGGCTTCGATGCTGCTAATGCAGTGGTTTAACTTCACCCCTGGGAGGCACACTCCATTGTTTCTCGAGACAGGTGGATGCAAATAGCTTTTCCCCTCCCTGCCACTTATTGACAGCATCTTCAAGGGAGGAAGCTCTTCCAAATGATGTATGTCCAAATTTCAGTGATTTGCTTTGATTGATTTTATTTTATGAATCCCAAAGCAGCTTTGCAACCAACCAATAATGGGGACAGAACAGAACAGGCTTCCTCAAACTCGGCACTCCAGATGTTTTTGGCCTACAACTCCCACGATCCCTAGCTAGCAGGACCAGTGGTCAGGGATGATGGGAATTGTAGTCTCAAAACATCTAGAGGGCCGAGTTTGAGGAAGCCTACAACAGAACATGACAAGTAAGCATCAATCATATAATCAACAAATCATGAATAAAATAATTCCTGTCTATAAAACACTATTAACAGTCCTAGGCTGCTGAAACAAGACCTCCCCTCTTGGCTGCGCTGATGTAGTCCAAAGAAAAGCAGAACTATATGTTTGCCACCAGCTTAGCTGCACAAGTTGCCGGAAGGAGGCATACAAGGGGTCATCCAGCCAGTTTAGGGACTCCACTCTGGACTTGTGTAGGGTTTACTCCTTAGCCTTTTCTTCACCTGAAGATATCCCGCAAGGCAGCGAAGGTTTAGGATTAGCGCTTTCCTTCTCCTAGATGGGCTTCCTTCCCAGGTTGACAAGTGGTACACAAAGATCAGCTGTGGAACTAAGCTGGTGTTGGGAAATCCTTATGTAAGGGCTGGATGGGGCGACGCCTTTGCAGCCGGCCTGCCCAGGAGATAATTCAAGCTGCATTAGGAAGACTGCAGTCAAGAGAGTTCAATTAATTACAGATGAGCAGTGACCACCATCTGTCACCACAGGAGATTGGAAGGGCAGCCAGGTTGGGACCTGCCCGAACGGACTCCACATTAAAACCAAAGTAAATAAACAAAAATCACCCCCTACCTGTAGAAACGAAAATAATATGATTCATTATCTGGAAAGTCTTTAAAAAAAAAAAAATCAAAATGTTTTAAACTAACAATAGGCTTTGAATCATAGAATCATAGAGCTGGAAGGGATTGTTGCCAGTCGGTGTTGCCAGTACTGAGCTAGACAGAGTGAGGGTTTGACTTGGTATAAGGCAGCTTCCTATGTAAAAAGTAAAGGGACCCCTGACCATTAGGTCCAGTCGTGACCGACTCTGGGGTTGCAGCGCTCATCTCGCTTTATTGGCCGAGGGAGCCAGCGTACAGCTTCCGGGTCATGTGGCCAGCATGACTAAGCCGCTTCTGGCGAACCAGAGCAGCACACAGAAACGCCGTTTACCTTCTCGCTGGAGTGGTACCTATTTATCTACTTGCACTTTGACGTGCTTTCGAACTGCTAGGTTGGCACGTCCCATCGTGGGGATTTGAACCGCCGACCTTCTGATTGGCAAGCCCTAGGCTCTGTGGTTTAACCCACAGCGCCACCCGCGTCCTGTGCACAATTTACCAAAGCTGCAACATCCCACTATTTACCCCGCCTTGGCTTCTCCCACCCAGTGGAGGGGGGCGTTCTGTACACAGGGCCCTGTAAGAAGAACCTGCCTGTGGCCCATCTATCCCAGCATCCTCTTCTCACAGTGGCCAACCAGATGCCCCAAAGAGAAGCCCTGGAAACAGCAGGAGATATGAAAAGGATCCAGGGCTCTAAGAAGACCCCAAGCTCACACTGAGGCAACAGTGTGATGCAGCAGCAAATAAAGCAAATGCTATTCTAGGCTACATCCAAATCAAGTGCCCAGATTGAGGGACAGAATAGTGCCACTATTATTCTGCCTTGGTCAAGCCCCACCTGGAGTGCAACTGAGAAACCAAGAGACATTGTTTAGGGAGTCTGTGATGTTCAACTTTGAGAAGAGGAGACCAAGAGGTGACATGAGAGCCATCTTCAAATTCCTGAAGGGCTGTTATAGAGAAGACAGAGCCAGCTTGTTTTCTGCTGCTCCAGGGGGGAGGACCCAAACCAATGGATTGAAATGATAAGAAATGGGATTCCAACTAAACATTAGGAAGAACTTTCTGACAGAAGAACAGCCATTAGACAGTGGAGAGGATGCCCTCAAAAAGTGGTGGACTCTCCTTTGTTGGGGGGTTTAAAGCAGAAGTTGGATAGCCGTTTGCAAGGGATTCTTTAGTTGTGGTTTCTGCGTTGCAGGAATTGGACTAGATGACTCAAGGGTCATCTTGAATTGGAGTCCCTTCCAATTCTGCAATTCTATGATTTCTTAGAGAGGAAGACTTCATAGTTGCTGGTGGCTCATTTTTGCAACCACCACTCATTTTTCTTCCGAGAAATCTTAGTACCTATGGCTCTCCTTACCTTTCATTTCATCCATAGCTTCTGTTTAATTGCTTTAATCAAAGCTCTTTCTTTAGCCGGCTGCAGTTGTCATTAATACAACTGTATTCCTTTAGCGAGAAAAGGCTTTCAGAGCAGTTTGCAGAAAACTGAACAACAAACTTTCTGTTTAAGTGAAGGCTGGTTGGAGTGAGCGTGTTTCTTGAAACAAGCAAGTTCGTTGCATCCCTTAACCTTGACAGAAATAGCTGCGGCTAATCTGCCGACCTTAAGCTGCTCTGGAGTGAACAATTATGGGATCAGGAGTCCTACCTCTGGGCAACGTGCTCAAGGGCCCAGCGGTTCAGCTTACGAAGTTCTTCACAT